ACACTTGGGATGGCTCTTCTTGTGTACTTTTTTGGCACAGCTTCGCTGGATCCTTGCCATCACATGTTGGTGGCTTGTCTCCCTATCTCCCTTTACTTTCAAAGGACCATGTCGGTCACAAACCCCGAGATTTGCAGATTGTACTGCGCGCATGGTTCCAATTTCCATGCCCAAGATTGATGGGTGCTGTGAGGCTCGAAAAAAATAATGAAATAGCACTCCGTAGTTCCGTATAGTACTATAATAATTGTACTATAGATGTTAATTATACATAAGTGTTTATAGATAATGGGTCGACACATATTGGACAGTTGAGCCATCACGCATAGAGATCTTTGGATCAACCCTGACTCAACCTGAACTCACTCAAGGCCGCACAGTGGGCAGTGCCCAGAGCAAGCTTGGCTTGCTCAAGCGCCCTGCACTCGCTGGGAACAGATGGCTCAGACAACTCCCGGAACATTTCCACCTTAGTTGATCGCGATGACAGCGGACATTAAACTTAAGGTGAGCAGGCACGAACAATCAAAAAGACACATCGTAGATAGGGTTTTCTTGCTGTTGTCTTTGACATCTGAGGAAAAGACCCAAAGCGCAACCAAGGCAATATTTGTTCCACAGCATGGCGTTGGACGGGAGAAATAGGCTATCTGCTGCTGTTTTTCACCATCTCGCTTCACCTTGACTCCCGATGCTGGACGCGTCCAGTAAGTTGACAGCACTAGATTGTCTCCTAGGTCAACTGCAGGCATGGGATGCTGGTGCTTGCCCTTGGTGCCCAAAGTTCCAGCTTCTTTGCACAAGCTCAAGCAATCCAGGACTGCTTGCTTGGCTCGAGCACGGAAACTTTCAGGGATCTGAGCAAGCACAGCAGCAGGGCCAAGCAGGGCCTCCGCCTCCACCTGGGAAGGTTCAGCTGATTCTCCAGGTTCTGACTGCTTGGCTTTTCCCCTGCCCTTTCCTTTGCCCCTCTTCTTTGGGGTCGCTTTTGCCTTCCCTTTTGCTTTCGCTTTGGCCTTGCCCTTCGGGCTGGGCTTTGTTTTGCTCTCATTCTCTTCAATCCCATTCTCTGGCCCATCCTCTTTGCCGTCATCATCCTCTTCGACATCATCATCATCATCGCAAAGAGGCCTTGCCCTCTTCAACTTGCTCTTGGCGGCAGTGCGCCGCTTTGACTCATCGCTTTCCGACTTCCCTTCAATCGTCGCTTCACCTGTAGCCTCTTCTCGGGGCACACCATTCTCTTCACCCACGGCCTCCTTCTTTGACTTTCTTGGCCGCTTGGCTTTCGTTCCTTCGCTCGTCTCCTTTGCTTCTTCTTTGCCAGTTTCATCCCCAACACCGTTTGCTGATGGTTTTTTTTCTTTGCCTCTTTGCAGGCTGGGCTTCTTCTTGCGCAGTCTCAGGCACTTCCTTTGATCGCTTCGCCCTGGACGCCCTTTTGGGCTTGGCTTCGTGCTCTTGAGGCTCTTCTTTTTTGGGTGCCTCACTCTCTTCTTTTTTGGGCGCCTCAGGATTGGGCTCCTTCTCACGCTCGTCTTTTGGTGTGGTTTCAGCAGCTGGCCTGGCAGCTGCCTCAGCCACCTCAGGACCCTTCACAGCTGTCTCAGGATTGGGCTCTTGAGGTGTGCCTTCATCAGCTGGCCTGGCAGCTGTCTCAGGCGCCTCAGGACGCTCTTCATCACCCTCTTTTGGATCACCCTTCTCTTCCTGATCATCATCTTTTCCGCCTGCAGTTGATGTTCCCTCTGTTTTTCCACCTGTTCCTGTGCCGCTCTTCGCCTTCAGAGAGAGCTGCTCCCGACGCGACACGTGAGACTCAGATTTGGCCACTTCAGGGAACTCCCCCAATTGCATAGGAGCCTTGGAAACACCCGCTGATCACATTATTGCTGAAGAAAGCAGCGAAGGGAACTAATTGGTTGGCTGCTGTTTAGGTGAGAAAAACACAAAAATACAAGAAGGATGACACCAGGAACAATGAACATGAGATATAGAAGGTTCTATCTTGATTTGTTTTCCTCCTTGTCTGCGCATATACTCATGCACGTGTGCTCACTGCTCTGATCGAATGCAACCAGAGCGCTGTCTCAACTGCTGGAGTCTTTTCATCGGCTGGTGCAGGTTCAGCGGCTTTGGCAGCCGAAGCATTGGCCGCGGATGCAGCTGCCGTGCTCGATGGAGGACCTTCATTTTGCAAAAGCTGGTGCATCCATGTTGTGTCTTGCCAGAGGTCACTCTGTGTAGCCAAGGTTTCATCGTTATCGTGGGCAAAGGGAAGAGAATCCATTATCACAATTTGTCCTCAATCATGACTTCCAACTGTCAAGGTTACAATATCGTACGTTCTATAGATACGAGGCGTGGCGTTGCTGTTTGCATGAGTGACATTCACAGTATACCCCAATGGCAGCCAAAGTTCTTTCAATGGTCACCCCTGCAATCTTGGACAGCGTAGGACAGGATGAGAGTGACACCCCCTTCCTGAGTCGGATCGAGCGCCCACATCAACGCGCAAATTAACGTGCGCATTTTCAAAGCCGGGGCTCATTCCAGAAATCAAATTGACCAATTCCCCTTCAAGAGAGGTCTTGCTCTTGTCTGTCAGTAGTGAACCTTCTTCTTCGGATGAGAGGACTTCAACTTCCTCCCAAAAGAGAATTATAGGTAAACTTCGAGTAAAATACCACTGATTCCAGAAGCAACAAAAACATAGCATCTTCAATGTCAGAATCTTTGGTCGGCGGTGAAAATGAATACAACAGCGAAGTCCTTCGCAATGTTTTTGTTCTCTTCCACGGAATCCTAACGGCAGTGAATGCGGCTGTACCCTTCACATGTTCACTCACAGGCGCAACAGGGACAGGCAAACAACAACTCATCACACTCTGATGGTCCTTGTGGGTCTCTGGCATTTTGGCACTTGAGTTCCCCTGGGGCGGGTCCTGGAAAAGTTCATCCAAGCGTTCGTCCTTCAAGAAATCAGGCAAGGGTGGAGGAACTCGCTCCTCAAGAGTGGCTGAATTAGGGATTGAAACCTGCTCTTCATGAACAACAGAAGCTTCCACATGGTCCTCGTCACCGCGAGGGTTGCCAATTTCCAGTGGCTGCGTATCTGGCTCCTGGAGCTACACGCTGAGCCAGTGACTCTCATATTGGTATCCCAAACCCCCCAAGTTCATACGCATCAATCGATTGCAAAAAATAGAAATTCAGAGATGCGCTGACTGTTCTTATAACACTTTATTTCTCAAAGTGAGCTCCAGTCCTCAGCAAGTAAGCCAACAGACCCGTCTTCCTCAAGACAGTGAAATTGTTTCCAAGTTGGTTCTGGCAGTAAAACTTGTCCAGCAGTCCTGCTTCTTCAGGACCCCCATGCTCACGAGAAGATCCTGCAGCACTGGGTCCTGAGCCGCCAGATGAGAGACTTGGCTTCAAAGAGGGCTTTCGTAGTGACTCGACGAGGTTCTTAAGACAATTGGTGTGCAACAACTGGATCAAAACATGTTTAAAGCACCGGTCCTTTGGATAGCGCTTGAGACTACCATCCTTCTTGTCTTTTCGCACGGTCCCCTTTAAACAAGCGATCAAATGGCGGATGGCCCACCCCTGCTTGCTTGCAAGTTCTGAACTCATAGGCTTGGGGTAGCATGTGGACAACTTCTTCACATCGTATTCGAGCCGATCTATGTTGGGAAGCCCATGGTGCTGAAATAGTTTGCATACAGGTGCCAAGACTTTGTGGTTGGCCTTGACATTGGGTAGCGTAGCTTGGACGTCATTGTTTGTTTGGACTCTCAACTTCGGGTCATAGTGAACCAGGAGATTGTAACCATCACGCAACCGCTGTCGGATCTGTGAATCATTGTCCCAAGCTAGGGCAAGCCCCAAAGACCTGAGACTTTTATCACTTTTGCTGGCCCCACCATTGTCCTCAGGAACTGTTGTCTCCCAAGCGCTGTCTGAAGCCATGAGTGGGCCACAGCAGAAGCACTTTTAGCACCAAGTACAAAGCCTATCAGTGAGCCAAGATGCTACAAAGCAAGGGATAGGACTGGGCGAGTCTATACACAAATTCACCCGAAAGCCAATCATGGATCAAGACCATAGCACACAAATCTATGTCAAGACTTTAGCTGTGAGAAGGCAAGAAAGCTTGATCTCCAGAAAGTTCCGAGCCTTGTAGCTCGAATCATCTCAAATCCATGGCTGGTCGGGTTGAACCAGCATTATCGCATGTGCTGTTGGAAGAACATTTGTTCTGCATTTACCAACCATGTTCATTAGTCTTGGATCTCCAGTAGTCTTGCTTCCGGTGAACGTGCGTCCTCCACATGATGTTTCTTTGATAGGAAACATGCAGATCAATGCTTTCTTGACTCTTGCAATTGCACACTTTCCTCAAAGCATGCTGCAAAAAGAAGTGCTTGCTTTGCAAGATTGCCTGACAGGATGGAATGCAAGGGAGATGGGCCTGCTAAACCAAATAACCGATAATGATTCTCAAAAGTCATCAAATGACGGGTTTGAACGGGTTCGAATGGGTTCGAACGCTTTCGAATGGGTTCCGACGCTTTTTTGCATAGCGCCCCAAGAATTCTTCGGCAAAGTCCCAAAACCATAGGTTTTTGCATTTGCCCTAAGAATTTCCAGGTATTTGGTTTAGCAGGTACACTTTTATGTTCAACCTTTACTTGAGAGGAGTGATTCCAATTTATGCCAAAAGACGCATCCGCCAGGATTCAAGTTGAGGTATGGACACTTTCCCCAGTGTTCATTCGCGTCCTTTTGGGCCAATGATGCTTCCACACCAGTGGTACTTGACAAATGAGACTCAGGGAAAACATAGGAAACACCCGCAAGCTGACTCGTCGTGTTGGTGGAAGAAACCCCCAACTCATATAGTTCTTGTATATGTTCTTCTTGTGACACAGTCCTATCCCCCAAGTCCGTTGTCCGATCCTTTCGATCCAAGTCCGTCACTAGCGGCTCATGCTCAGGCGCCGCAGCTCCAACGCTGCGCACGGATGACATCGTGGCGGCCGAGCGAGGCTCGTCCGTGCTCGGGGAACCCAGTTCGTGCGGTTGGAGACGGTGAAAGACTGGTGCACGGTATAGCCCGTTCACGGGCCCAAAACACAGTAGGGCGGTCTGTTTTGGCATAGTCATCGCCTTGAGACAGTGGGGAAAGAGTCACTGACAGTCAAGCAGGGGCATGGGATGGAGTCGAAAGCGGCTTCCTTTCATAATTGGTTATATGGCCCCTATATTGACCGGGACCCCCCCCAAAAAAACTATCGATCCAGTGGCGATGAAGGCGATGAAGCGGAGATGTCTTGAAGGGTTTTACTTTAAGCCATCGATCTTGTGACGCGGTCCAATGGTGAATCCGGAGTTCCCTTCAATTGCAAGTCTAGCCTGGTGTCATGTATACCTGGAGCCCCAAAGTACCTCAGAACATGGGTACAAGATGGTACAAGTACCTGTTTTCTTTTTTTTTTATCAGGGCCATGTCCCATGTTCTAGAGTACTTGAAGTCGGGTCCAGGTACTTCAAACCTGCGCACCGGGTGTCTCGCACCGTTCGCCTCCACAACACCTCTCGCACCGCGCTCGGAGGAGAGACGCGCGAAGCACGGTGCCCTGGCCGGAGGCCCGGCCGGACCGGCGCGGACCGGCGCGGACCGGCGCGGACCGGCTGGACTGGGAGATGGTGAGACATGGAGCCGAATGGGGGGGGTGATGAATCATGATGAATCAATCCAAAAAATGAAACATACCTAGAGGAACCGTTGGCAGAAATTTTTGCCGAGGCACCATTGTGCCCTGATTTCAGCCAAATTCATCGAAAAGCGCCGAATCCAAAAAATAACGCCGAGCAATATGAAAACTGCCGACTTTAATGGTTTTCATTTGCTAGATTCTCAAACCAGCACTTGCCAGATCTTGCCAGTCTTACCAAGCCCTTCCCCGCCCCTTTCCCAAGCCAAACCACAGGGTGACCATCCACAGTTTGGGCTTACATATGAGAACCGAGGGATTGGCATCCACAGTTTGGATACCTTGGAATCCTTGCACCTGGGGAAAGAGATAGTTAATCCACAGTTTGGGAGTGCTTACAGAGAACACACTTGAAAGATCCAACAATGTTTGCCTAAGTGCATGCCTTGTCTTCCGGACGTTCTTGATATTTCCCCTAGGGCTTTCTTGAAAGGCCAATCCAGGCAAGCAAAGTTCTTTGCTTCTCCGGATCACTCTCCAAAGAATGCTTTGCCGCTTCGCCCTTTCATGATCCAACCTCCCTTGACAAGGGTGGCTGTAGAACAGCTGCAACTATTGGGCCAACAACAATGTTCTTTCCAGTGCAGCCATCCAAGATGTTGATTCTTATATAGGAAACCCCGACTAAGCAAAAACATGGTTACGGACAATTGCGCGAATTGTCGGGCAATTACGCCGAATTATCGGAGATTTACGCCGAATTATCGGGCAATTATGCCGAGATCTAGGGATGACAAAACTTTGGAAAACTGCGAACAACTTGACTGCCACGATTTTACGCGAGGGTGCCCGGTTGGTTCACGGTGAGTTTATGTTGAATTATGCATGGTCCATGCACAATCCACTAACTTTCACCTTGGTGATGGAATCAAATCTTTCCATTCACCGAATATGTTCAACAACAGCTTTGTGCCACTGCAATAACTAATAGGAAATCAGGGAAGAGGGTTGCCTCGGGCCACAGAAACCATTTGGCATTTCTGCCAGGCCTAGTGTTTACCATGAATCCCTTAGCCAACAATGCTTGGCAAGAGGTAGGAACTACTGAAGAAAAACACTGGGCGTGAACAGCCAGGGCGCACCTCAAGAATGCCCGGTTCACCAGGTATTTGATCCCTAGAGGATTGTCGAGCCGAGTTATCATGAATCACAACAACCCGGATTGGTTCTGCATCTAATCAACCAATCAATACGTTCAAGAACCTCAAAAACCAAAAACGCCGAGTCTATCTTGGTTTTAGCAAATTACGCCGAATGCCCTTTTTCAGGGCAAATTACGGGTAAAGGCGCTTTTTGCTGAGGTGGCAGAAATTTTGGTGCATTTGGAGTCTCTAGGTATAGTTGTGAAAGTAAAGATACTATTTGCTCATGCATGAACATCCTGAACCATAGTGAAATGTCGAAAGATACGAAGATCCTCGTCTCTGGAAACTCCCGGAACTTCGTTTTTGTGCCTTTCTCGATCTGGGAGCCACGGTTTTTAGCTGGTCCACGTGGTTCTTGAGTCTTGTATCTTCTGACTGTTGCGATGGATCCTGAGGCGTCCTGAGATCTCTAAAGAATAAGGGTGTCATTCCCTTATTCTTTACACCAGCCAGCCTTCCCCTGGCAGTAGTTAGTTGTGTTCTTTCTATGTTTGACAGTTGGGCGGTGAGCCAATGTGAAATATGCGCAGCATGCATCCCTACACCCCACATCCCAATAACCAGCCAAACAACTTGAGAAGCAACCGACCAATCAACCATACCATATCCTCAGGTTCGGTGGTTAGACCCCCCCTGGCACCCACCCCAACCATTTGCTCAGGAGGTAGGCCAGGAGCCCTTGAAGCCCTTAAGTAAATCCTCTAAATACCTCACCAATCAACCTGTATCTCGTGCCACGGTTGGGATGTGACGTTCACCCCGATGTCTGGCGTACCACGACGACCGGTCGTCGTTGTGTTCGCCAGTTGGACCACCCGCCATCGGGGCCATCGGCTCAGCAGCTCAGCTCAGAGCTGAGGTGGGGGGTGTAGCTGGGCCTTGGGAAGGTCAGTGGGGCTCGAAGGCCACCCGTGAGATATAGAGAGGATATAACCAGCTCAGTCACATTGGAGTGGGGTGGTGTAGCTCGTCTCATCCAGTGAGTGGAGGTTCTATGGAACTGCTAGGAAGATGTATACTGCCTTGACAGGCCCCAGCGCGGTGTCTGGTTACGCCCAACACAGCCCCAACACATCCCAGCGAGCTCGGCATGCGGTCGTCACCGGAGGACCCCGGGCCACAGCAGTGCCCTAAACATCGGTCCACTTCGATTCACATGCCCAGACACGACGACTGCCGGAGCTGCCGGAGCTGCCGGACTCAGACAGACCCCCCTGGCACGCAGCACCCCTGGCCTGAGCTCTTGGCAGTTCGTCTGGCAGTCCCAATCGTGCCTTCGTGAGCCTTCGGTGATGGGACGCGAGGCCGAGTCCGGGCGAAGGGGCCAACCAGGCCGGGCGCGCGGCCGGTCGTCTCCAGTCGGCCCAGTTGGGGCGGCGAGGCACAAAAGCAGCGCCTAAGAGAACCGGACTTGGCACATGAATTTCACGGAAGCCTGAAACAACACCCCGTATTCAGCGTTTTGGGGGTACATATGCCAGTCCTTTGGAGTGTTTGGGAAATGACGGGATCAGAACATCTATGGTGTCACTTTAATTCTGTGGGAAGGATCGTCACAAGTGATCTCACAGGCTCAAGACTCAAGACCATGTCCCGCATGAAAACATCTTTGTGTGGCAAAACCCCCCTTGACCCACAGCATCTACCCACGCTCCTGAACCTTCATATCATGTGGAGGTTGGTCCCAAATCCTTTCGAGGGGGTTCGGGTTCGAATCAATCCGGTTTTGAGGGACCCGTCGGGCTGTGACCGGAGCGTTTGGGGTACAACAGATCAGGAAGTTATCGTGGATCCGGTCAGGATCACAACCCAGTTGAGTTGGCCGAGTCATTTTTGAGCTCAGCTCAGGGGTGGGCTGGACTGCTGTTCTGTCCACACAGGAGAAACATCATACGTTGTGGTCGCGCGTGCTCTCAGAATACCTCAGAAGTGCTCATGGAAGCTCAGCCTTCCTTTGTAGAGGAGAAGGTCGGATGCAAACTAGCTTCTGTTTCACACCTTCCACAGATTACTTGGAGGGTATTTGCTGGAGCCATTTGAAGTGAGTCGAGCTCTTGGAAGAACCACAAATCTAAAGCCTGTCAGAGGTGCTGCTCGGTCCGGGATAGGTCGTCATATTCTCACCTTGAGGATGCCATCGTCCAGATCAGTACTGCCCAGACACGACCCTGGACCCTCCGTTTAGGGACCGGGGCCGGACCCGAATCCTGGGGTCAGGAGTCCAGACCTTCTCACCAATCCCTAGGGTTTTGCTGGACCAGTCGAGCTGTTTTCACGGAGCGTCGTTTGGGCCAACTTCTTCCAGCACCATGAGTAGTTCCGTGATGAAACAGCTGGGACATCAGGAGCAATTTCGATGATGTTCCAAGTCTAGGTCAACGGCATATCCTAATCCAGTGGTTTTCGCCTTTGAGAACCTGCAGTAGTCAGTGCAAGAACACACCACGAAGGATTCCATCCGACCATATCTGAATTCATATCTTAAGACGTCAACTGTGCAATCGTGTGCGTACAAGGGCATGACCCCCCTTTTCCAGGTCCAGCGAGATTCAGCCAAAGCTGTCTTTCTGCCATCACGGAAAAGTAAGGTGGTTTGTATAGGCACCCCCCCCCAATTACCACCCGTTCCATGGTACTAGTGGGGGGCCCTTATTTGGCACCTCTGAAGAAATTGCAACCTGCTTTCTCAGCGAACGACGAACAGCGGAGTCATAGATCTGAATGAAGGCGACGCTTTGAGTGACGCTTTGCAGGCTTGCCCCCTACGACGCGCCTGACCAGCTCCTGAGAGCGGTCCGCTGGAAGCTACACATGCGTGACATGCTCCTGACGCAGCGCAGGAAAAGGTGTTTTTTTCTTTTTTTTTTTTAAAGTTTTTTGCAGAGATCGCTGTCTTTTTTTGCAGAGGTCTAATTTTTGCGGAGATCGGGTGAGGTTATGATTTTACCGGTTGCTGGTTGAATCCCCGTGTCACTGGGGAAGATGTGGGACGGTATAAAAGATATAAAAGTGGGCCCTGCTACATGTTCCCTAGGCCTATCTAGCCCTCAAATGTGTCAAAGACCATTAAAACGATGTCAAAAGAATGGTTACGTTGATTTAGCCTCCATACAATAGCCTCAACTTGTTCAGTTCAGTGTAACTCAATGGTTGTTTGAGATTCAGTCCATTCAACCAACACCATGGCGTTTGAGTCTTCAATCCCACACCCTGCTTGTTTCAGACCCGCCTTCAACCGCTCCAGACTTCGGGGTGTGGTGGGACGACGGGTACCCGACCCTGGCACCGACTAGATCACTGTTCGCAGTGTCGGTTTCACATCACTGTTCGGATAAGAGGCTGGCAGTAGATCCCTAGCTGTCCCAGACACGACCTGGGACTGCTGCCACCCCAGCCAGACCCCCAGTCAACCACCCCAACTGATTGGCATATACATGGTAGTCCCATGGAGTGTTTGGGCATAGGGATTATCACAAGCCCCTCGCAAAACGCGACTTCCGAACGCCACGGTCGACTGGTCTGGCCGTGTTGGCTCGAGAGGGTGGAACCGCAGCGGGGTCGCGACGGCGGATGGAGCAGGACAGCACAGGTCGACAGTCGAGGAATGCATCTCAGATGTAATTACCGGTTCCTGACCAAGAGATGTGGTCAGGAATGCACCAGGGAACCAAGACCAGAAAGGAACCATGCACATGCAAGTATTTGCTCACAGAACACTGTCCGATGGAACCAAAAAGAAGCAACACTTGTGGGCAGCTCCAAAAAAAGACCTGTTTGTCTAAAACGCAACTCATCTCGACTCATCTTCGGGGGAGAAAAGCCCGAAATCCACAGGTGTTGTGCTATGAGGACATTGACTTCGACGCTTCGACAGTTCGCGCTTCGGCCCCGACCCAGCCAGCGCTCGTCTCCGCTGTCCACGTTGCTCGCCATGGCTCGGGGAACCCGGCCAGCAACGGCGGGGGTGGTTCTTCTCGGCCGTGGGGCCATGGTGGGGCTGGCTGGAAGAGTCATGATGGAGTCACATGGAGTCATGGACTCCTAAGTAGCGCTCCAGTCATACCATGACTGGAGGTACGGTATGACTGGACCCGACACTGGCACCCGGGCCCCCAGTCTCACCTTCTGAGGAAGGTACTTGGAGGTGTAGGGGGAGTCATGTTAAACATGTTAGGTCGAGTCATGGAGATACGGTGTTCGGCTTAGGGCTTTGAACATGTTTTTGATGATTGCCAGCATCACCGTGGGTTTTTCTTGGCACATGTGATCGCACAAGTTCAATAGTTCCGGGCGATGGTGGGAGTTTTGGTTGCTGGACAAGGGTTTTGAATATCCATCCACTCATCCAGATGGACATGGTACTTGAATATACCGTTTTTTGTTTATATAAAACAAGATGGAGCCCATAACCCCCCCTGGCAATCCCAGAACCCCCAGAGTTCAACGAGAGACGTATTCGGAAAAACTCATTACATGAGATTGCGATCCACACATCCGCAGATCCTGTTGTAGTCTGAATTTCCTAAGATTCGGTGAGGGGCTTGTGACTTGCAAGGTGTTTCACAATTCTAGCTATTTCTAGGGGGGTCGCCATACCAAAAAGCTTTGCTTTTTCACCAGCTATTCACCCCAATCATCTCCACCCATAGGCCCATAGGTGCGAGGATCAGTCCATACCTCGAAATCCAGAGCTCCGACCTTGAACCTCGTAGTGGGGCTCATCGAAGCAGGCCCCAACTGTTCGACCCAAACACGAGCTGTTGGGACATTTTGACTTCATTTGACTAATCCCCCCCCCTAAGGGTCCAGGACCATCCAAATCGGATGTCCTGCTGTCGGCCCGAGTTCGACCATTCTCGGGAAGTATACTTTCACCTCCAAGACCATCCTCAGGATGGTCCTGGACCTTTTGCGCCTCTATAGTTAGGCCACACCGGTCGCCCGTCCATGGCCGAAAGCCTCGCCATATCGGCTGAAGAGAGGCGGGCGGGATTGGATGGGGCGCCCCTGGAGAAGACCTTCCATGGCTCATCATGGCTCATGGCACCTTTTGGTCAGCCGGAGTGTGTCAGCTTGGCACAGGTTCTGAGCATTTTTTCAGTCAGCATTTCTAGATTCTAGATGATCATTTATGCAATCAAGCAACTTTCAGATAAGCAGGGGCGCTCTCATCTTAAAATCATGGGCAAATGGTCAATGTGTTGTTCCATTGTGTTTCACCCACACATCGACTTGAGGCGTAATTGTCAACATGTGTCAACGTCCACCAGGAAGTGCATCATCAATCCTGGGAACCTTTAGTGGGCAAGCCTCCGCACGCCCGCCATGTTCCACACGCGCTCAGCGGGTGGGCCCTACACACCCTTGAAGATGCTCGGTGAAGTGGACGTGGCGCATGGGGCTGTGTCCGGAGCGACCCCTGGACCCTCCAGAGGGCGCAGTCTGTGAGTCCAGCGACGACCTGTTGGGCCCCGAATGCTCCGGGTCTTCGGGGTCTGGGGCTTCTCACCTGGTAGATACCCGGGCCTTGCGCCATGTTGAAACGGGGAGAACTATATAGGGCTCGGTCTGTTGGATCCTCTGGACCTCTTCTGCCATCCGAAGGCGACCACGCAAAAAAACCCGGCGCCATCCATCGGCTGCCGACCTCGACCGACCCCCCTCGTGTCACCGAGGAGTCACTCGGTGCACTCGCTGCACAGCATCCGAGAGGACCGTTCGGGCTCGGTCGTCGGCGAACCGTTCAGGTCGACAGGAAGGTTTCGGATGGTTTCGGCGACGGAAGGCGGCGTGGAAAACGGGTGGCGAGGGCGAAGGCTTTGGGTGAGCAGGTCGAAGCAGAAGGACAAGCATTATCCACGGATCCACCGTCTCAGGTTCGGTACGGCTGGACCCTCCAAAGCTACAGTTTCTCCAATCACCTGAGAAGGTACTTGGATCCTTAGGGAAGGAGAGGAGAAGAAGCTTTCGGATGTCTTGGGGACTGTGGATGATCCGCACGGATTCACACCCCAAGCAGCTCTCAGACTGAATGGGGGGATGCCCCGAAATTGATCAACATACGCTACAAATCATAGACCTCATTCCCTCATCCAGTCGTACCTGCATTAGAAGGTGATTGGATACCAGTGCAGGCGCCTGGGTACAGTCGTACCGAACCTGAGAAGGTACCCGTGGATCTATAGGGATTGGTGCTCGACTGGTCCCTCAAAACCCTAGGGATTGGTTCGGGTCCGGACCCCTGCACTGACCCCAGGATTCGGGTCCGGCGTCCCTGAACGGAGCACGGCGAGTTCTGCGAATCATATCCGGATCTGTGATTCGTTGATTCGTGGGGGCTGGGTTTCCAGGTCAATGGTTAAATTTGTCGTTTAAGATTCCACAAGTCCCTGGCAGTCCGAAACCCGTGAAACAATAGGTAGTTCTTGGATGTTCTTGGTGACATCGCTGCAGAACCCAGTTCGTTCTGAACCCATTTCTGACCCTCAAAACCCTATAGGGATTGGTTCGGGTCCGGACCCCTCCACCCCTGACCAGTTCGGATTCGGGTACGGCCCCGGTCCCTGAACGGAGGGTCCATGGTCGCGCCTGGGTGCCACATATTTAAACCCTCTAGGGCTCCAGTCGTACCTTCGTTTCGGTTCGGTGGGACTGGGGTGGCAGTGGGTGCCAGTGTCGGGTCCAGTCATACCGTACCGCTGAGGTTCGGTACGACTGGACCCCTATAACCGTCCATTCACTCTTCGCAGGACGCCGGCTGGTCTGTGGACGGCGAGATTCGCAGCACCCACACGGCGGCTGGGCGGAAGGGGAGGATGGAGAGGAGGGAAGGACCAGGCTCACCCATCCAACGGCTCGTCCCATACTACAGCCGCGGGGGTGGCTGGGCACCCTGACTTGGAGGTGATCTTAACCCCAACGTCCTTGGTAGTATATATAGAAGAATGAATAAGAATGGGACGCGACCCTAGTTAAAACTGGCACTTGTAGATTAGATCCGAGTGCAAAACGGTCCGGGTCCAGGTCGTTCAGATTGAAGATGTTGGAACTAAAAGTCACGGATGGGGCCTGCGCTGGTTGGCTGTTGCTGTCATTGTTTGCCCATTAAGGGTCAAACTTCCGGATGCTTTGGAGACCAGCTGGCCGTGCGGTTGACACTTCTCACGCGACCATATGACGTTGCCACAATCTGAGGGAAGGCATGGAGGAACCCTAAGCTTCCCAGACCATTGGATGACTATTAGACTATTTTGTTAAGAAGGGTTGAGCTGGCTTAGTAGTGTAAAACCCTTTTGGAGTTGTTCGGTAAGGACTAGTAAATCTTGATGGTGCTTGGTACCTGGTAGGTGGAAGCTTTGGAATGTGTCTACCTGGTAGGACACTTCCCAGACCGCTGCTTCCCAAGGAAGAGAGTGCACATGAAGAGCGAAGAAGCTTGGCAAGTCAGTAGGCCTGGAATTATCATGGAGGTGGTGCTGCGCTGCGCACGCTGTGCATCCAGTTCTCTTGATCCAAATCTCTCAGACAAATGTGGGTCGAGCCTGGGATAAGGTACTTAAAGATTTGCCAAGGAGTAGGCAAACCCAGAGCGCGCTTTCTTTCTTCGACACTTGTGACAAAATGCTGCAGAAGAGAAAGTTGTAGATTCATGTAGATCTTTGACATCAACGGTCCAGTCATCAAAGAAGTTTACACCCTGGAAGACGATGCCGTGGACCCTGAAAACCACTGGGTTGATAGAGGAAAACACTCTTCCAGCAACCCAGGACGTCAGGGTCTATGTCAAAGTTCGTTTTCCGGAGTGTACACTTCCTTTCTGCCAACTCACATCATCTCACCAGTTTCGTCGAAGTTTAGTCGTATAAAAACTTTCATATGGCAAGGCCAGAATCATTGATTTAAAAAACAGTGAAAAAAAAGTCAACTGGAAAAGTCAAAGTCAAAAAAAAGTAAGATTGAAAAGTCAAAAAAAGTCAAACAACGAGTACACAAAACAAAAAAAGTCCGCCATAGACCACAGCTCGAACAAGTAAAAGAAAAGTCAAAACAAATCAAGCAACGTTTTAAACAAGAAAACGACAATTAAACCACACTCGAAAAAAGTCAAAGAAACAGTCAAACATTAAAAAAGTCAACCACTCTAAAACGTCAAAATAAGTCGATCAAAAAAAGTCGAAAGAACAAAGTAAAAGAAAGTCGGAAAAAACACAAGTCTAAAAAAGTCGGATCTGGGCAAATTGACCTTTTTGGTTTTTTACTTTCTGAAACTTTCTGATTTGATTTGTTTTTTTTTGACTTTGACTTATTTTGGGATTGACTTTTTCAATTGAAACCAGGTTTAGTCAACCACTGGGCCCTTGGTCAGCCATTCTTCTTCACCCACCACGTCACCCCACGTCACCCGGTTCCTTCGGTCAACCGCGGATTCCGGGAGCCCCGGTTCCTCCGCACGCTCCGTCGTGAACACCCTGTTGCTCCTTCCAAGGGGTCAAACTAAGGTCAGTAGATCAGTTGGAGTATTTCTATAGCTCAGCTCATCGACTCAGTTTCTCTTCCCTCCTTCCCCTTCTTATTTATTTGTTTCCTGCTTTCCAGATTTAGATGAACAACAATGGTGCTGCAAGACTTGTAAGCTCAACTCATTCTGCAAAGCAGATAGCTAACCACTGGATTTTGCACTCAGCTATGGGCTTGTGCAGTGCAAGAATGGCATTACTGAATTATTTGGAGACTCTTTCGTGACCTTTCCCAAAGCCAAAAGCAGCTTGGCTTGGAACGACACCACGCCGGTCCAACCTCCAACCACCTCTTGCACTCGGCCCAAGGGGTCCTTGTCCCCTTCTTGCACCTCGCTGTTATTGGATCGAAGGTGTTCATCGAAAAACCTGCAAACTTACGTATAGATCACACCTACCTGTAGAGTCCAAGTAGCGTAGCCCTGTTGGGGTGGCACCGTGCCGAAAACGGAAGGTACCTGTCTAATACATCCAGGTACCTGTTGAGGATGGTCTTGGGGGTGAAAGTGTTTCCAGAGAATGGCCTTTGGGTTGGCAGGACATCCGATTTGGATGGTCCTAGGGATAAGCTTGCATTTCCAGAGCCACACATGGAAGCGGAACATGACCACGTGGAAGACGCCTTCCCTCTACAAACTGCTGGGGTGTCTCACTTCCACTGCTGCGTGGCCTTTGGAGCGTCATGGTTTGAAAAGGACACCTAATCTACCTAACCCACCCCAAAATCTTCCAACAGGCTTCTTGCAGGGTTCTAGCCTTGGTTTTGCCAAAAGAGCCTGGTTCAGCTTGGTTTGCCAAGGTTCCAGCTGGTTCAGATTTTCCTATATAAAGGTGCACCAGCTTGGCTTTTGCCAAGAAGTCCCTGTGACCTTCCTCTTTTCCAGGCCATTTTGCTGCTTTTTGTTCCCCTCCAAGGAGCTACCTTGGCCTGGCTTCTCGGGAGCAGCGATGCAGAGGTCAGCTAGCTGGAGTGATGAGCTGGGCCTCAAAGGCTAAGGATGTATTACCCAGACACTCCATGGGATTGCCATATTTACCTACATTGGGGTGGTTTGGGGGGTCAATGTAGGCATATATGGCATACATGGAGTGTTTGGGTTATTAATCAGGAAAGCTAGCCTCAGCTAGCTGAAGTCGCTCTTGCTTCGCAGTGGCTAGCCGGGCTAGCTTTCATTCCCGCCATGGCCTCAAGTGTATTGTAGACATATATATATATATATAGGTTGATGAATAAAGAGTTGATACAACATGATGCAAGCACCCCATACCGATTCTATGATGTTATACAGTATTATACATGTTTCATATGTTAGCGGTTTATGACTCATTTCATGAATCAGATTCCTCTTACTACGTCCTACTATATATACCATGAAGGCAAAACCGACCCAAACCAGCCATGCCGTGCTCGGACGCCACGAACGACGCCACCCACCGGGGCGGGTGGGTTCCCTTCGGCTGTCGGCCAGGTGCGCAATGTGCTGGGCATCGTGGCGGAGCGGAAGGGCATTCTGCTGCAGCAGGCGGTGACGGGGTCGGAGACGGGCAGAGTACAGGGAAGACGTGGAGAGGTTGGGCACCATGGAGAGGTGGTTTTTGGGGGATGAGTTGGCGAAGGATGTTTTGGAAGACATCGAGCCATGGGGATCGAAGAAACGCACAGGTGGGCGAGAAATTGTTGGTCAAGCACCTGTGCGTGCGGCGGCTGGAAACAACATGAAACAACATGGGGCCCCGAGTTGCAGGTTTCCTTCCTCACTCCAAGCACCATCACCTGCGGTGGCCAACATGGCCAAAGAACGCCCAGTCTTTGTCTTAAGAGTTCTTAGTCTTACTATGTTTTATCCTATTGATCCACATACCTTCTCAGAAGGTATTTGGACCCTTCAAAAATGCATAAAAGAGATGTCCATCACCTTCTCAGAGGGCATGTGGATCCATAGGGTTAGTGTTTTGGGATCCTGCAGACGTGGGTAATGAGGCAGTTTTCCGGTTGAAACACTTTTTCCCTAGTGGAATCGATGCCGACCCATTGACCCCGTACTACCCCAAAAAGAACGATTCCTGGCCTAGCTTTTGGAATCCCAACAGAGGTGTGTCAGGACCCGAACATTGGCCTATCCCAGTTGGGTACCCCAGGTCCTATGGTTCCGGTCACCTATATAACCTCTCTTGGAATCGCCATGGGTGCACGGATGGCTGTTGAAGGGACCGAGACTCAAGACCCGACACCAGGCCTTGGATGACGTGAAGAAGGCCGGCGCCTCGCCGCGGCCCAACATGGAGCGGCAGCCCACGCCCAGGAGATGCTGACGTTCAGCTGGTTAGACCACCCAGGACCTTCAAGGGGTGTCCAATGGAGGTCCCTTAGTGTAGGGGCTTCTATTGGTGACCCCTTTGAAGGTGCTGGTATATGTTTTCCACTGGGAACACCCAGACACGACCTGTCTGAAACTGCGGACTGCCGAGAGTTCCGGCCAGGGGTGGTGGTTGACTGGGGGTCAATGGGGCGGCATATATGGCAGTCCCATGGAGTGTTTGTTCATTGTTTCTACCAGCACCTCCCTGCCAGGTCACCAATTGAAACCTGTCACAGGGCCTGATTCAACCCTACATTTCCGAGACCAGACCTGGAAGGTGCTGGTAAAAAAGTAGTGTTCCACTGCACAAAAGGATATGTTCCTTTAAACAAAGTCTCGGGACTTGGCGCGCTCTATGGCGCCAGGTCAACTAGTTATGTTTTTTTGATGATCTTGGAAGGCTACGGCGGCCCTGTTCAAGGCTGCGTGGGTGGTCTAACCCAAACAGAATGTCCAAAAAAGCCCGAACGTCGACACGTCGATGGCTGGAGCGGTTTCAGAGCATCCAGCACCGAGTGACACCCCTGATTATGCCCTAGGGATCCACTGCCACCGCTGGGCCCGATGGCGCCTACATAAATAGTCTCCACCTTCTGAGAAGGTACTTGGATCCCTATAGGGATCCATCCACTCACTCTCCCCAAATCTGTGGTGCTGGATGAAGAAACGTCCGTTCTGAGACGGACCAAAGAGAGCGTTGGAGGATGAGATACATCAAACCCTGGATCCTGCCTTTTTGGCACAGGCAAAGCACGGCCATGAATCCGCATTCCCATTTCAGGATGGTACAGGATTGGTGTCACTGCTAGTATTTCTTTTTGCATGTGTTTAACAAGAAATTTGCCGTAGCAGGTGCGCGAACGGAACGTCGAAGGCCCTACCAACAGAGGTGTGTCAGGACCCGAACGTTGGCCTATCCCAGGACTAGGTGCCCCAGGTGACAGGTCCTGAGGCTCCGGTCACCTGAAACCACCTCTCTTGGTGACAGGACCCACCAATACTCCGAGCGGAGCTTGCTCTTGGCGCCGGTCGCTGAAAGTCGAGTGTCCACCACGTCGGAAACAGCGGTGGGCTTGCAGGCGGGGAGTCGGTGGCCAGTTTGGGCCTGGAGATGGCTGGAGGGATAGTTCCAAGGTGAAGCCTTTGCAAAGGAGAGCCGGATCATGAGCAGACAGCTTCTCTTGCAACATCTGGCAGCATGATTTAGGATACTTGAGCTTGGCTGGCGCCTGGTAATCACATCACTTGCCCAAACTCAGTGAAAAAGCAGGACTGAGAGCCTAAAGCCTGTGGAATTTGGGCAACCTTTTGGAAGGCCTGGTTCCGCCCCCAGCCACGGCTTGACCTCAACGGCGGCTAGGCCTCGATCAAAGAGTTCCGCCAGAGCCGCGAAAGAGATGGTCCTTCAGCTGTGCCGGACCTCAGCTGGTGGAGCTCAGCGACGAGTGAAGGACCCACCTGGACTACCCCACACTACCTATAGGCTTCTTATAGGCCCCTGGTTGTGTCTGTCTGGTAAGCCAACCTAACATAGACCCATATATCGTCCTGGCCCCCTGTGTCCGATGGTTTTCCTCTACCAACCAGTGGTTTTCAGGGTCTATGTGGATCGTCTTCCAGGGTGTATATCTTCTGGAAAGTTTCCTTCACTGTAACCTTTGTGAGGGGGGTTCCCCCATGAAGCCACCTCTGAGGGTGACGGAGAAGATGTGACATCAGCGGCACCCTGTCCATTGATTCCAGATGTCCCGGAATTGGTGTAAGGGAAAACTATATATAGAACACCTACCAGAAAACCATCAGAAAACCATATGGTTCATGTGTTCACAAAACGATGGGTTCTCCGGGTAGATGTTTTCCTCAAAACCCCGGTGACTACCAGGGGTCACAAAAAAAGGGGTGGTGTAACTCATCCGGTGAGTGCAAAAACTCCTGGGGACCCCGGGCCCCTTCGTGACACGCAGCACCCCAAGTATCACGTCACGTGACTGGGGATGAGTTCCGAACGCCGAAGCCGCGAATTCGCTTCGGGGCACCTCGTTCGCGCGAAATCGCCGAGCCCAGCGTCCCGCTCTTCGCGCTGAGGTTCGGTGGTTTCAGCGGTCGGTGGTGAAAGCGGTTTGGTCGTTCGTTTTGGCATCGAAGTACAGACCATCCTCTCCAAATACCAGAAACGGGACCAGACAAAAGAAGGTTCGAAGCGCAAGCTACCCCCTCCCTGCTATCTCGCTGCGAGATCTCGGGGATCATTAGGGAGAACAGGGTGGCAGAATGAGACATTTCAGAGAAACAAAAAGCGAGAATGAGAATCTGGCTTGTGGTGTCAGATATTTCATGAGAGTTCATTCAGGAATGAGTTGAAATCACCACCAACCAGGAATGAGTTCATAAACACATGCTCACACGGTCAGCGCTCCATGTGATGGGACTCCTCCTATGATGCCACCTACATGGACTCCGGAATTCAATCACCTCAACTAGATCCCTAAACATGCTGTAGATGAAGGCAGTTGTTTGGGTATTAGTGCTTTTTGGCATCAACCGATCTCCCAAGGTGTCCGCGAGCACTTTCTGGCGAGAAGATTGCACCTTGCAATTCTCTTCTCCAGCCGCTTGGCTTCGTCATGGGAGGTCATGGGAGGAATATATAGGACAAGAACCTTTTTTGCCCCAGATCCCATGTCATCCCTTTGAACTATAGAGTTCTCTGGGTTGCTCGTCGCACGGGTCGCACAGGACTCGCACCGGTCTGGCTGACAGGCTGACACGGCCAGAAGCAGAAATTCCAAGGGAAAAAGACCGAATCCGAAGTGGTTTCATGTCTGAAAGGGGCCGGGCTGAATGGGCGCCAAGCTCCACACCTCCACCTCTCGAGGTCTACTTGGTGGATGAAAACTCCGAAGAGGCCCAGCTTCGCCCCGCCGCACGCCGCACGCGACGAGTCGCCACCGTCCTCGGAGGTGAAGCGAGGCAACTCGCACACGAGCGCCGATCGCCAAGCGTTCTCGGGGCGAGTGGACAACACGCCGAGACCCAACATTGGACGGTTGCACACGCCACTTTTCTCGGGTTCACGTCATGCATAATCTATCCGTTTTAACATGTTTTAACTCTCCAATATCAAGTGCACCAGGCTGGTTGTTCGGTGCCCTATCCAGCGGACTCGACGATCCACATGACCACAGAGCCGTGCGACGCGGGTTTTCGACGCGCCCGGAACGGTCGAGGTGATCTTGGACGTGATCCGCGTGGGGCCCACGGACAGCCGTTGCCAGGCGGGGTGGAGCACCACAGGTGGGTCATCACAAATCCAGATAAGATCTGGGAGCAAAACGGGGCAATCATTGCACCTAGCCTTAGGGGGAGAAAAAGGGCTAAGAATTGGAGATTCACGGTGTCAACTACAGCTCAAAGTGTCAAAGATGGACGACCAGCGTCGCATTGCGAGCTCGCATGAACGCATGGACCATGCTCCTTGTTGAACGGCTGGTTTTCCACTCAGATCCACTCCACTTGGCCTCGCAGCCCGGTCTTCACTGTCCAGGTGGAGGTGACCACGGTGGGCGGCAGCGCCCAGGAAGGCGAAGCCTTCCGCGCCCGGATGCCCAGTGGGTGCTGAAACAGGGATGGGGGGGGCCGTTCGACGACGGGAAAGAAGGGGTTGTAAGGCACGAGGTGCGAGGTGTTTTTTTCACACATACGAAGCATTTTTTGCTTTGGGGGGAGGTGTATCCGGTATATAATCCCTGCAAGGTCTTGAAGATGCAGGAAGATGCTGCGGCTTTTCTCGCGGAGCTCTATATGGGTGTGTTTGTTTCCCAGAATGCCAGATGCCAGGTTGAATTGCCAGAAGGTAGTAAGCCAAATAGAATGACAGAAAGTTTGTCAAACATACGTGTACCCTGCCTTCTTCCAAACCGCCCTGAGGGCCCGTTGGCGTCAGAACATGGCCTGCCATGTTACATCTCTCGATGAGATGTTGGAATGCGAGTTGGGTGGAAGTTTCAGAATGGAACACGTTCGAGAGACCCTTGGTAAGCAGAGCTTATGTGGCTTACGGGCACTGTTGATGGCAAAGGCGCGAAAGCGCCTGAGAGGACGATCCGCGGTGACCTCAAGCGCTCCAAATGCTGCTGAGAGCTTTGGCGCTCCAAATGCGTGCAGAGTTGACTTTAGCACCACGCGTCCGAACGTCGGAACTCAAAGGCTCCGGGGGCTACAGAGACGCAGCGCCGAAGCGGTGGGCCGCGCAGGCGGCCCGCTGAGCGCAGCATGCAGAGAGCGTGGCCACCCTGGTCATTTGCGACTTCAAAAAGGTCATTGAAGCTGTGAGTGCATCCCCCAACTGCGCGTTCTTGGAAGTTGTTTTCTAGACTACGCCAGGGGGAGGGCGCACCATATACACCATAATAAAACGATTTCAGCTTGTGTGTTTTTCCTTGATAGACCGGAGCGCCGGAGGGATGAACACTATGTCAAATGAATTATCGGTACCCCGCTGAAACACAACATGGCCTGTGGACGCCACTGGTTAAATGCATCGAAGAAAAGAGTGGGACGACCCGGCTGCTGTTCGACCCGGGTCCAATTCTGTTTTTTGGAAGTGTTGCAGGGAAACGACCATGTCATGCCTTATTCGTCCCCCATGGATTTCTAATTGATTTCATGGTAGCACCAGTTAGGACTGCTAGGACTGCCTACGCCTACAGACTCGATCTGCATCCGAAGTGGATGGTTTCTCGAGGCCACACAGGTCACCTTGACCTTTGAACCCCAAGAGGCGAGGGGGAAGCTGGATGGGAGGAACTGACCCCATCGGATAGCACCGGTTGGCAGACAAGCAAACCGACATAGTCCGGATCGATGGTGAGGTTGAAATTGCTTTGTTCAGGCGACCGGGTGGCCTTCTTGGATTTGAGTCGGTGTTTTTGTTTGGATCAGTTTTGATTGGATGGGTTTTCGGGAACTTCATGGGGCTAAAATGGTGCTCAGACCTTTGCACCAAAGAGTGTTTAGCCCCGAACCTCGCTTTGGCCACAAGAGGTTGAATTCAATGGATGCCTTCTATTCAGGCTAGGGAGGCCGTCTTCGAATTCCAACTACTTGCCGAGTCACTGAAACATTTGTCAGCATCATTTCTTCAGACATTGCATGAGATTGCTGTATCCTCTTCATATTCTTTTCCACCTAGAGTCACCATAGCCTGGTCAGATCTAGTTGACTCATTGACATGTCCCCATGTCCTCCGCACCAACCGCGCACGACTGGAGACCTTGAAGTCGGTGCATGTGGAGCTCTTCGACAACGAGAGCTCCTCGCTTCATCGCTCGGAGACGCCGAGCTTGGGCACGACCGAGACGGAGCCCGAGGGCTAGAAGATTCAAGTCTTTTATTAAGTTCAAGTCTTGAACTGTTATAACGATTCACAGTTCAAGTCTTTGATCATTACTTTTCAAGAGAGACCTGCTTGGAATGAGGGACCTCAAACTTCTTTGGGACAGGTAAAGTAGCTCCACTTGAAGCTGATAAGGAGACTTATAGTGGAATATAATTGCTGTGGAACGTCTTTCCTCTTTATAGACCATGTTGATCCTGTTGGGGCATGGTGAAGGCGCCATCGGTGCTCAGAGCATCGCATGGCACGCGCCATCGCCTGGGTCGCACCAGGCAGGAGTTCCGGTCATCAAACCGGACAGGGTCGCATGACCAACACATCCCTTCATCTCCAGTGCTCCAAGTTCAACTTCCAACTTCTGTTTTCATGACTTCCAGGGATCTGTGGGTTCGCTTGGTCGGCGACGCAACGAACTTGCTTTTAGGGTTTTGGGACTGTTGTGGGCAGCTTGGCTGTCATCCAAAGCTGCAAAGCAGTCTGCAAAGCGTGTTCCACTTGGACCAGGATCCACGGAAGGTTGGGTGGTTCGACGCTCCAGCCCGACCTCTTGTCGGGGGCCAGGGGAGAACTGGTACAAGTTGCTCTATATAGATGATGATTTGAAAAGAGCTCAAACTTCGATCATCTGTTCTGCTTCAAAAAACACCTCCTCCGCTCACGCCGCTCAAATCTCCAAGCTCCTCCGAGACTGGGGAACGCATACGGAGTTTTCGGCCAAGCTGGGCGAGCCGATGGGCGCTGTGCTGGGCGAGTACTTGTCCGAGACCCATGTGAAGATCATCGACCCTGGGCGCCCGGTTCGACGGGGTCCGAGACCCACATGGAACCTGAAGTTCACCACCACGGTCGGGTCGGTATGAGGAACATGATCTTCCAATGGTCCATGCTATCAGGTTCAACTGTTAATTGGTGTAGATGTTTAAGACATGATAGTTGTTTGGACATGGCGTCTTCTTCATCTTCTTCACATGATGGCAACCAAACATGTCTTTCTTGGCCACCCGTCCGCCGCGACAAAAAAAGTCTTCTCACCAGTCTGTCGTGGACGCCCGCAGATCTGCAGATCGCGTTCGATTCGCGCCACGTCTGAGGACGACGACGTGTTTCCCTCCAACCGCTTCAGAGAAGAGATCGAAGGGCATCGTTTGGAAGATATCCGAGTCTGGGCGGTGTTTGGCAGTGCAGTGAGGTGCTGCAGACCGGTGGGGCACATGAATGGAGATCACATGCCATTTTTCCTCTATGGCACTCTATGGAGTGGGTGGGGTGAATCCTGTTATAAGGGCTGATGAATCATTTTCTGAATGGAGGCGTATGTTTTGTACTAGAACGGATGGTGTTGATGATGTGTGTGGGACAGGCATGGCCTTTTTCGAGTCGCTTGATCCAGTTGGGACAGGCGTGGGAAGGATCTCCTTTTGCGGAGGCCGTCCAGGGGCGACCGTGCCCCTCTCCAAAATTCAGAGAAGAGAGAGAAAGAGAGAAACAAAAAAGGCCAAGTGTGAGAAAGAAGGGCCTTTCGAAGTATAGAACTAATTCTCAAATCCCAGAATCGAGGACCCTCAAACGTGCAGTGAGGGTTTGGTGAAGGGGTCCAAAACCCTGCTGTTCCAGGGTCAAAACCCTTTGTTTAACTAGGGACTACACAAGCACCTCAGGGGGCATCGCTCTACAAGGAGCACCTGAGGATCCGAGCTCCTGAGCGAGTACATCTACCGGAACTTTAGCGACCCACTGTGTCTCGACGAGAGAGATCGAACGTCGTTGGGTTTGCTTTGGCCCTTTTTGGGATTCCAACCAAATGGGATTTCGATTTCATGCTTTTGGCCGAGCAAGCATCTGTTTGACTCAGGATGGAAACACTGCAACACACTGCAACATATCAGGTCAACCGAGGTCAACTTTGTTTTGGATGTGACATGCTATATAGCTGCCAGGGCTCCAACAAGATGATGGGAGCCTGTGGACCGTTTCGGCATGCCAAAAAAGCCCTCCCCCACTCTGTCGATCTACCATCCAAAGACCATCAAACAGTCCATCAAACACCTCTTGTTTGAGCAATCGATTCATATAAAGCACTCCCAAAGACACAGAGTGTTCACGTAGATTTGTAGATCCGGACGAGGACCAGCGTGGGGGGTCGACATCAGTCGATGTGCCACCAGGACCAGTAGAGCCGAAAAGAGCCCAATGAGCCAATAGAAAGTGGTGATTGGCTGTAACCCCCCCAAATAGATGGTACAGTGTCATAGAAAAGCCGATGCCCCAGTAATGGGAAAGTGTTGGAACACCGCATCTATCTATTTGGAGACCACCAAAAACCAACGCTTCAACTCCTCGATTTAGATGCCGGTGTTGAGGATTCGATCTGGCACCATGAAGATGATGATGGTCGGCGTGCTGGACAGCCGCTGGGGCTGCAAACACGAGACGTGTCCGGATGGTGGGACGGGATGGGAACAATGGCCCCGAAGAACACCCGATGTTCCACGGTCACCACCGATGATGCCCAAGTGCTCGTGGACTTCGGACAGGTGCTCAGCTGGCGGGGGGCACCAAACATGTGTGACGGGTGCTAAGCCGTGACCTACAATCCATGTGCCATTAGAGGAGGGTGTGCTGTTGTACCGTGATCACCCTGCACCGTGATCACGCGCCCCTGCGGGTGCGGCGCGAGCGCGGCTGCTCCGCCGGCCTTTGGAAGGATCAAGATCTGCTTTCAGATCCGTTGGGCTTCATCCTCGCAGACATCCAGAGGGAAGCTGAAAAGCCTGTCTCCAAGTAGGATGATGGTAGATCCCAGTCAGTTGGTAGATGATCACGATGCGCGGGGAAGGGTTTGCAACCTTTAAGCATCATCCCTGGTATTTCATGGGATATGCCCAAGCTCTAGCGCTGCCTGGCCTGGGGGTCCAAGAGGTTATAGTTAGCAGCTTCTGAGGTCTTCTGATGATGTCGAAGCTTTTGATCCACCTCTACATCCTGCAGTTCGTGGTCAAAACCGGCTTCCCAGAAGATGAGCTCTTGCTGGTGCAGGCTGGTGTCCAGAAAACAAGAGAAGCGCATAGATCTTGGGGCGATGGCGTGAGCATCAACTGAGCAACATGCTTTCTTTTGTGGTTCGTACCTGGGAAGATAATGATCCTACTCAGGAAGTGTATATAATATATATTATACGTGCATCACCTGCAAAACCGTTTTTGGGTGATGGGAGACGGCCCAACAAACAGCAGGTGGGGCGTGCGCCTCAACCTCGACAGATTCCACACATCCAGGGATGGTGGCCGTGGCACATCCAGGTCCCATCCAGCGGACCACATCCACCCTAGGCCTCCAAGTACCTTCTGAGAAGGTGTTTGGGGTGGGTTTGGAGGGTCCAAATACCTTCTGAGGAGGTACTTGGAGGTGTAGGGCCAGAAAGTCGATTCCCCACAAGCTTCGTTGATGCCTTCGTCTCGCCGCTGCGGGGGCGCAGTCCATGTCTTTCCATCCCCACGGCCTTCCAGAAGTCGTAGCACCAGGCTCCGGCTTGGAGTAGCACCTGGCGTAGCGCCAGAACAGTCTCGGGTTCAAGCCCAGACCATTCATGGGACTGGAAGATATGCCGATCAATTGACCTCCCAAACCACTCCATTGAAGCTTCTACATATGGATACATGGCACGCAGATGGATGGTCTGGTTAGACAGCCCGGACGATCGCATGTAATGTTCTCCGACCTATGTGTCAATGTGTGCTGGCGATCGTCAGGTGGTATACTCCTGTTTGGGTGTTCTGGTTGGACGACTGAGGAGGGGAAAAAAACAACAACAACAACAAGATGGAACCCACCCAGAGTCAAACGAGAACTCTTCGCTATGCATTCCAGAAGAACAACAACAACAACAACAACGGGATCAGACATGCGTTTGGTCCAGCATGGTGCGTCCTCAGGGAGTTGGCTCAGAGCGTTCGTTCGCGTCCCAGCCGGGTCGCTTGTAAACCAAAGACCTCCGGACAAGGGTCCCATCCTCACTGGGCAGTTTCTCATCGTTCCATGGTGGTTTCCAGAATCGAAGGTCTCCCCCATCAACGCTTCTTCTCCCTTCAGCTCCCCCGTTCGACGACCCCTCCGGAACCCGGTCCACGACGTCCATCACGTGGGTCCGAGATCGGCACAAAACGGATCGGCGCGGGTTGAGCGTCGCGAAACGCAGGATCGACTTGGGAGTCTTTACATGTCCATGGGCTTCCTCTTGGATTCTTGGCGTTCGAAGTCGTTTGAATCATGTGGGTGTATTGGTTTGTACGGGTTTGTTTGCCTCGGGTGAAGAGGTGGCTGGGGTGTTACTGGTGAAGAATGATTGAGGTATTGAGCCTATCTTGATGGTCCAGCCGATGGTCAAAGCCTGGACACTCTGGTCTATTCTTTGCGGCACGAAGGTCCCCAGCCCAATGGTCAACCAGTTGTTTTTGATTCATTTTGATCCGAACGTTCAACAGCCTAGCACAACATTTCCAGTTCTTCCACTCACCAGATGAGTGGAAAACCACTCCAACACTATATGCACAGGCATTTTTGCATGTGTGTGTGCTGGTCGCGCGCGCATAGTCTACCCTTGACCTCTCTAGTGGTGTAACTATATGTATGTATAACTTATAACTGTCAAAGGCCAGTTCCCACCCCAAAAACCCCGCCGTACAAAAAGTGGCAAATCCTAGGTGCCATACACATCCATAGACCAAGGAAGGCAATGCAGAGACAGAGAGAGAGAGAGGCAGAGATACAGCAGGAAACCCATATCAGGATGGTTGTTGAACCCCATTCTGGGTGGAGGCAGACTGAACCTCAGACCATCAACAAGAATACCTCACAGGTTCTCCTGTATCTTCCTTGACAGGCTCGGGTTGTTGCATGTCCTTCCAGCAAGTAAGATGTCAAAGGATGGGCAAGTCCTAAACCTTTTTACGAAGCAAAACTCGGGGTGTAGTCCGACCACTGCTGGACCTGAACCAGCTAAGAGATTGCCAAAAGTGTCCACTTTCCACATCGGTTGCGTTATGGGAATCAGCATTCAACTCTGAAACCAAGGCCTTCTTCGGTTTGCAGCATCCTGGCATGGAAAATGCAGGGCTTTTGGTGTGTGCAACGTCCGTGAAACACACCAGAGAATATAGCCGTTTTTGCCGTTCCAACTAACTGGTTTGTTTTGCAGTTGGGGGGGGTGTCCCTTTCTATGGGCAGTTTGCTTTCAACAAGGCTACCCTCCTTTGCATGCCAAAGTGTGATATACACCCTAGGGCTCCACCAAGTACCTCCCCAGAAGGTATTTGGACCCTCTAAACCCACCCCAAACACCTTCTTAGAAGGTCCTTGGAGCCCTAGGGACATGATTGCATTTCCGGTGGTTGATTCTCCATTAAATTAGTTTTGTGGACCGGATGATTTCGTGGACCATACTGTGAAGTCAGTCACTGAAGGTTCCAGGGGTGTTGATCCCATAAACAGCTGGTTCTCTTCGCGTTGTTCTTTTGTGTGGAGTCCATGAACATCATGAACACCGGCCACATCAGCTATCACAGAGCCCATGAAGAAACACAAAGACGGCAGAAAGAGAATCTAACGTTGCAAACCTCATTGCTCCATATTGTTCCTACTCTCGTCCGCTGTGGCTTGCAGCGATTTTTTGTTCATCTCACTGAAGAACGGCACATTAGAACAGCTTCTGCTGCTCACTACGACCTGGCGTTTACGATCACCATCGACACGAATGTTAATTTTTTGGCTTTTTCCAAGCAACACCCCAGACAACCACGGTGGGCCGTGTCTGGGTACACAAGGGTGTGTCCACTTGATGAACCGCTTCTTGCAGGAATGGTCCTGGAAATACGTGCGATATATGAACATCCCGGGTTTGCTGCTGCGGACGTCCACCTGCTGCTGCTGGCTCGTCCGCACCAAAACCAAAAATTACTCCCTTGCCTACCTACCTTTGGTCCACCACTTTTCTTCAAGTTCATTCCCAACAGCCATGCGACCGCCTGGGAAATTCCACAGCCAAAGTCCCATCAATTGCCAGTATTTCATCAGTTTCAGTATGTTCAGTGGTTGAACTTCTTCCTATACCAGTCCCTGTGCCCTGAAAGAAACGCTCCAACAACGACTGGCTGGAGGCACTGGTTGCACTACCTGGCTCCAACCTGGCGTGTGGCGGGCCTTTCTCGTCGAGTCGCTTGGGGCAAACGGAGCAGGGCCAAGCGGGTGAAAGCCTCGGCCATGGGTCGTTGACCGTAAATAGGACCCGTCACCTGGGGTACCGATGGGATACGTAAATAGGACCTGTCACCTGGGGTACCGAACTGGGATAGGCGAACGTTCGGGTCCTGACACACCTCTGTTGGCATGTGAATAACAGGGCTGGCCCAAGGTCCGTGCCCCCCCCAAACCTTCGTGCCCCTAAAGTGGAGCCCTAGTTATTGAAGGTCGTGACGAAAACATGGGATTGGAGGAGAGATATTGATGTGCGGTGACGGTGTTGGGTTGTTACGTACATCATTTTACGCACATTGGGACTGGACATGTGACTTACATGGCTGGGTCACTTTCATCAGGTAGAGATATATGTACTGTAACTCTTCCTCCCATGGGATCCTTTTTGGGGTTGATGCTGGAGTCTTGGGCAGAATGGCCCCTCACGCCATTCTGCCCATCAAATCTAGTAATCCAGCTTCACTCGGTGCATGGGGGCGAAGCAGAGACATCCTGTTGATTGGCATATAGGGCAGTGCCATGGAGTGTTTGGGAATCGTACGGACGTGGACCCCGAAAGGATGACGTTTCTTTCCTCTACAAACAGTGGGTGCATCGAATGCACTCGAGGGGGCCGGCCACCCATGTTTGCTTGGAAGTGTGAGGGCGACCAAATAGTGGCTCATTACCGTCCATCGTGTGGTGGCCCATGGGTTGGTATATTTGAGGCAAGGATAAAGCATGCCACCAATGGGTAGACTGGTCGATTTCTTTTCTTCCAAAGGGGGTTGAACAGGGATGGTCTTCCGGTCTTCCACACCCACGCTGTCTCAGCCTTCCGCCTGTGGCCGAGCCTGCGCGTCACAAGGTCTTACAGCATGGTGTCCTGTCAGCCTTCCTGCGCCTGGGTTTTCAGACCGACTGGGTGAGCCGGGTCAGGTCGCCACGAAGCTCTCAAAACCACCAGAGCACCTTATGCCAGGCTTAACCGATAAATCTAGATACAATAAATAAACTTAGCCTCCTAAAGCCCCAAGTCAACGGCGTTGGTTTCATTGTCTTTGTTATAATATGTTTAACGGTTTTTCCGTTTTACTGGAACATCTCGACAAAATACATTCCTTTTGTTGCTGTCCCCCGTTCACCAAATCCCGAAAGTCGATTACTTTTTTAAAGTCAGCACCTGGTAGGAGGACCGTTGAGGCATGATAGCAGGTTCCAATTTGTTGGTAATGGACTATCTACCTGGCAGTGGCAAGATCTACAACCATCCTTGACTAGATAGAAGTTGAACCACCCAGACGCTCCAAACAGCCCTTGGATTTGAGACCCCTGACCCCTCCAGAGGATTCGGGTCCGACCCCTCCATATGAGGGTCCAGGAGCGTTTGGGCACTCCAAAAATCTGAAGAGTTTCCCATATTGGATGTTGGGGCGTGCTCGACGTGTGTCTTTTTTCCCGACGGGCCTGATGTGTTCAGGAATTCATCATCCAATGTGTTTGTGCTTTTCCCAAGTCATGACGCGCCAGCGAATCAGATTCTTAGTTCGTCCGCAGACTCTTCAATCACCATGGTAATAGCATGTAGCAACCCTGCTTGGAAATCAAAGTGGCCCACTCGCCCACTTGCTGGAACTAGGTGACCAAGACAGAAAAAACATGGTCAGTTGTCGGTCTGGTGAGTAAAGGCAGTGGCAACCTGGCACTCTCCATCCAACAACCATGGAACTGGACACACTTCCACAAAAGCTGTTTGTAGAGCACACTCTTGGAAGGCAACAGGCCATACACTTCCAAGATTGTTGTACAGCCTAGACGCTCCGTTCACAGCCCGACTGGTCCCTCAAAACCTTTGGGATTTGAGACCCTAGACCTCCATATGAGGGTCCAGGGTCGCGTTTGGGAGCGTAGTTTTGTTATTCAGACGCTTTTGTGAGTCGAGACCCTCGATTGTAGCACCTCTCGCATGTGCCGCGAAAGCGGGGCTTGCCGTTGAGGATCTACAACGAGGAGTCCCGGAACCTTGTGGACAATGGCCGCTTTTGCTGACTAGCAAGGGCTGGTTGGAAAGACTCGTGGAGTGTGCCTGCTTCTTATACGCTTCTTTGGGCCATCCCTGCAACTGCAGCCTTGTTCTTAGTCTTCTTGGCACCTGGTGGAACATTACCTTCCAAGCATTTGTATAAACTGCATTTGCTGGGGTTTATCTTGAACTAGAGTCCGGGGTGCATCTGTTTAATATACATGCCTGCTAACCGAGCCCACTTCACACTCAGTCAACAGTTGTAACACAGGCTTATGGGGAAGTGCAGTCAGTGATTCTCCTTACTTCACCCTGGTGACTACTTTGCCGGTATCAAAAGCACGAGGTGCATGGACACATGCTTGGTTGCTCATCGGTCAGACGGCAGCAACCGAGCCCAGTACCGAGAAATGATACTCAAGAGGTCTGTGAACTTGCCTGTGAACTTGCGCAGAAACTTCTCAGCTCTGTTGCTGGACTGACGAAAGCAGCACCAATAGGAGACTGCAAGTCATGCAACCGGCATGCCATCCCCAAGCGGATCCGTAGCCAGGTAGATGGGATGCATTGAAACAATCTGAACATGAACGGTTCAATAAAGCAATTTCCCCACATGTGGCGACCCGGACATGTGAACCCGGTTGCTCCATTTAACAGCTAGCAATGGCTTGCAGTGCAAGACATGCTTGTGCGCAAACCAGACAGACGAAGCCCAGCCCGGATGGAGGAACGAGAAAAAAGGTTTGGTCGACAGGGCTAGGTGGGTGCTTTTCAGGTTCAAACCTGGTCTAGAGGGTCTACAGAGCGTAACAGCATGACAGGGTGTACTACAGGGTCTACAGGACTGATGAACTGACCTCATGACGTTACATGACTCTAAAGTCGGTGTTCAAGACCAGACTCCATGACCAACCAAGGACAAATTGTCATGGCCATGGTCTATGACGTGCCCAATTTAGTCAACAACGGCTCCTTGGGCGAGCCCGCTCGAGCAAGAGATCGAGCAATCTTCTGTTTCATAACGATGGTTGTTGAGGACATCACAAGAAGTGACACACCAACGGTGCGAACACATCGTCCAACTCCGTGAGGTTCCAACTCCGACCCTTCTTCGGGTGACGCAACATGTCTGCGGACCAACATGTCTGACCAAACCCAGACCAGACGATTGGGACTTGAACAAAGTAAATAAATAAATATACACCAGCCCCCGACTTCACAGGGCACCACCTGCCACCTACCAAAGTCACCCAAACTCGGAGACCTGATGGAAGGTATGGGCAAAAAAACGCATCAACCAGTCCAAGCGATCGGTTGTCAGTCTAATTCGTGTCTGGGAAACATGCGGAACCGGTCGGTGCTCTGGTGGAAGAACCGGTTTGGTCCCTGGTCTGACTCAGTTGCTCTCCCAACAAGCGACGTGGGCCGGGCCGGGGTGCTCTATCAAACATGTGCGGAACTGGAACTGGGAGGGGTGCTTCTTGTCAAACAAGAAGGGATCGGAGCTGCTCGGAGGTGAAAGGTGACACCTCCAAACCGACCCCAGTCAGCTTATCTTTGAGAGTCCGTCCTTGCCTGTTCGTTTGGTCGAGAGGTTTGTATCTTGGAGCCTGTGTCTTGACCTTCCAAGACCGAAAACACAAACACAAAATAACACAAACCAGTTGACCTAGCAAAAATGGTTCGGTAAAAAGGGGTATATCATGGTAATGGAGGGCCATGAATCCTGAAGTATAGGAGGGGGCCACGAATCTGGACAGCAGAGCCTCCCAAGCAAATCCCAGCTCCTCCCCCCTTCAACGTCGGCAGAAGTCTCTCAAGTCGGTGCAACCTGCAGGCTATATGAACGTGGTGAACCTGGTGAATGCGGCCACTTGACAAACACATCGGAGGCCTTTGAAAACCGGCTCAGATGGGTCTGCAGGAAAGATCGAAGCTGCTGTCTGGCTTGCTCCGAAACAGCGACGAACCGTCCCTCACAACCAAGCGGGATTGGTGAGAAACCTTAGACCCCTCCAATTGGAGTCCGACCCCTCCAATTGAGGCTCCCTTAATTGAGTCTGAAGTGTTTTGCCGATGATGTGCCTGTCTATTTGAGTCTTTTGGTGACACCAAATCGTACAAGAGATGAACGCAGAACCGGGAGAGATGATGCCAGCTGAGCCCGTGGATGACGTGCCGCCGTTGCTCGTTCCTCCGAGGCTGGAAAAGTGCTCATCATTTTGGCCTTCCAAATCTTCGTTCCGCCCCTGATGGGCAAGCGACCCACGCTTTTAGGCGAGCACAAGCACGCGCTTGCTTTTTTTTTGCCTTTCTTTTTTTTGGGGGGGGTGGCGGTGCAAGGAAAGTGTGTGTTCCTTTGGGTTAACAACTCTGTGGAGAAACGCAGCGGAAGTCTCACCACAATAGTTGGTCAGGGCCCTATTTTGGAGCATTCCACAAATCAAGTTCACAGCAATCGTCCTCCCAACGGCATGGTTTCCTTCATGCCAAGACTAGCATCGTGGCTATCTCTGCCAAGATCAATCAAGATCAAACGCATAACTAACCCTAAGGGCCCAGGACCATCCAAATCGGACGTCCTTTGGCCCCAGTTCGACCCCGGTTTCGTAACGTACTCACCTCCGTTCGACCATCCGATGGTCGATGGTCCTGGACCCTTAGGCCTTAGGGTAACTACCTCGCTGCGACCTCGCTCGGAGGGAGCTGCGATGTCGCTTCTTCGCGGGTCTTCCCTGACCTCGTCCGACCCACCGAGGGGCGGTGCAGGTTGGAGCCTTTTTCAACGAGTCGTTGCCTTCCCGGACAGCCAGTGAAACACTCTCCCAGTCTCCCAGACCCATTCGAGTGGAAGAGTTGCTGACACGGAGGGGTCATTTTCATGAGATACATGTACTAAGTGTTGGGTTTGCTTCTCCATTGCGCATGGTCTCTGCTGTCGCCGTTCATTCCAGCAACGCGAGAGGCTTGGGCCCGGCACTCTTCATTCCCTGCATCACGTGCCGCCGTGAGATTGATGCTTTGAGACAGGTTTCACCATAGAACTGAACCCAGAAGACCAATTCGACTTTGATTGGGACCACCAACGCAAAGGACATTCCTGAATTTGGGTCACCTTGGATAGTGCAAGGTGACTGAACTAGGACTTGATAACTTGATGCCTAAAATTCTAAATGGAAGTATCTTCTTTTCTTCCCTGGATGACCATTTTCCAAATAGCAAACAGGCAGTGTTCCACTTCCATATGATTGTTGGGGGGAGTATATATATACCATTCTTCACATGTTGAGACGACAGGTCCGGTCTGTGCCCCAAATGCCCGGTCCGGTCTGTGCTAGGCGTTCTGAACGGGGCATAGCTTGGTGGTGCAACAGCGGGGCGCCCGGTAGATAGACTGTTAAGAAGCAAAATTGCTGGTCCAAGGGGGGTCGGGACCCACATATCCCCACAAACAGTAGCAATGGTTCCCCCACATATTTGGACCAAATGGTTTCTGATGGTTGCTGTGAATCAGCTGGAGCAGAATGAGAAAAAACGGCCGCATTCGACAGCTGTTCCCGGCCGGCGTGGAGTCCCACCGAAGCTGCTGCGCTGACTGCGCAGCGAGGCCTGCCTTGATGCGGATGTTCCGCTCCGCGCGAATGGCAAAGCATGAGTGTTGGGAAGGAATGGCTGGAAGCAAACATGGCAGATCCAAACTTCCCGGGACCCCATGGAGTCCGGCAAAAACAAGTCATAGAAATCCCAATGAATTTGGAATCTATAAAGGGCACAGCTTGTGTTTCTCCAATGGCCCTATACCTCCAAAGCTGTCGCGCAACCACCGCGACCTGGTTTGACACCGACGGGTTCGGCGGCGCCGCAGGTACTTCTTCCTGCGCTGCCGCACCCCCTCGCAGACGCACACCCTGCGGGACGCGGAGAACAAGGACCGGGCTGAATGCGACAAAAGCATTGATCAACTATGAAGCATGCTATCAAAGACCCAATCCATGTAAGATCATGTAAGTGTAACTATTCCAGACATGGATGGTTTGGGAAGGGAGGGAGATGGAGGCAGTGAAGGTCTTGACTGGTCCATTTCTTGGAAGATAGTCTTGGCAGCTGCTTGGGGTTGAGTGGAAGGTTGATGTTGTTTATTGTTTTGAGATGTTTTGAGCATCTCAAGAGCTTTCTCCGGGAATGGAGGAGATGACGCAAGGAGACTCTCATGTTGAAGTTAGGACTTTCAAATGTGAGGGTTCGTGAGATGTATACCACTTTGGTACCAGGCACACCCACTTCATCATCAAAAATCATCAACACATGGGAAATGATTATTGATTTATCTATTATGTTCCACCCAACCCAACCAGGCTTGTGTCAGAATGCACCCGTTGGATTGCTTCAGAGTGCCCAGACCGATGGGGGTGGAGGTCAGGTGGTCGGTCGTTTGGGCCTCCAACGCCTCGCCCCCCCGATCGTGCCGCGCGGCAAGCCGCGCGCGAGGAGAGCGACCTCATCTCCCATGTGACGAGCCTTGGCCGTGGGCGGATTCTGGACGTTGGAGGCTTGTCACCGGCCGAAAACAGCACCGAGGTCGGAAGACCATGAAATCAATCCAAATGCCAAACAGGGAGGGTGGTTTCTCCACGAAAGCCATGTTAGTTAGTTCATGTTAGTTCAGTTCCAGGGGAGGTGTATCTGATAGAGGGGTTCTTCACCCACCCGGTCGTGTGGAACGTTGTTACGTACCAAACCCTCTATTCGGCTACCCTTCCCGGAACTAAGAATCACTGTTCCCCGCCTTCACCAGGTGTTCTAAATGTTTCAAAGACCTTTTCACCAGGTGATCTGGGACCTGTTTTTTGCAGGAAAGTGCTAGGTCGGCCAGGGTCGGAGCTCCCTCCAAACTCTTTCATACTTCGAGGGGCAACCCACAAGAGTTGCCCTTCAGGAACGGAAGCGAGGAGTTTTTTTTGGGATTAGGAGGGGGGCGAGAATCAGCTGAGTTGAAAGAACTATAGAAGGGTCATGTATGGTCATGTTGTGCAAATTGTTTTTTGTGATCCTTCTTTCTTTTTCCAGCTCGAGCCCATCAGCCCCTTCAGTCCGTTCCAGCTGAGGGAAAGCGTGCGAACCTTCCGCCTGATCTCGGACTTCGGCGCCTGGGACGGAGCCACGCGATCCGCCGCCGGAGTTGGTGAGGATGTTCGTTTGAAATTGGTGAGACCGCCTCATGTGTTCATCATTCCCAGACACGACCTGTCTGGGACTGCCATAGGACCAAACGGCCAGGGGTGGTGCCAGCAAAGTCTGGCTGGGGCGGCAGCCCTATGGCAGTCCCATGGAGTGTCTGGGATTGTTCATGACATGTTGAGAAATCTGCATGATTTTGACGTGCTGGATTTTGGTGGATGAAGCGGCTGGGTTGTTTTGGTGCGTGGGGTGGTCGTCACGGGACGACTGCTTTCGCAAGATCTTCAGGGAACGTTCCAAACAGCACCGTGTGGGCATTTTTGAACTTCTCCTTATTGGTCTCCGGATGAAATGACTTGGTGGGTCAGAGGGGAGTTAGGAGTTCGTATACGACACGGCGATATACGGCAGAAAGGACCAGGAGCAACTGGAGCCAGGAGCCACTGGAACCTTCGAAACACGGTCAATACGATCCCTAGGGCTCCGTTTTCATACCGAACCTCAGGCACGGTGAGGACGGAGACTGTTGATGTAGACGCCGGCCGGGTAGTGCCCAGGAGGGTCCCGAACCTGAGAAGGTGGCAGTGGATCCCTAGGGGATGGGTTTTCGCCAGGCTTTAAGGTGACATCGGGGACCATCGTCCTGGTGAGGACGCCTCCGTCGTGAGACACAGCGCGGACCTGGGACGATCGGCTCGGGGCAGCCATCGTGCCGCGGCACGGAGCTGCCCCATCTCTCTCCCGCTTGCTGAGGCAAAGGGTCATTGGAACTGGAGCCTTGGCAGAAACATGTGTACATCTTGGGCTCACTACGGAAGTGGATGGCACCCATTGAAAATGGTCCTTCCCAGTGGGGCCATCCATTTCCATGTGCGTGAATCGGAGTGTACATCTCGGACGCATTGGCAACTTGGGACGTAAACTTTCCCTGAAAGTGTGTGCTTTTTTCCTCAGCGGGCAAAAGTTCATCCGAATGGTCCCAACGTGCATCCCAAACAAGCCAAAAGCATCCAAAAGCTATGTTTGAGCACCCTGCATGATAGAAGTTACGTGGTTTGACAAAATTTGAGTGTGTCCAGTTGCTAGATTTGGACTCTGGAAAACCATACCGCCGCGGAGTGCCAAGCCATGCTTGACTCAGTTTGTGGGCTCTTGTGGTTGCAAGGAGAAGTTTCTGGACAAAGTCGGGGCCTACAACAAGACCATCATCGCCGCTTGAGCCGCAACGTATGTGTTGGGATTCATTGATATGACACAATTTGATGCCAAATAAGATTGGATAATCAGCCGATTAGCCAGAGTCAGGAGGAAAGTTTCTTGTAAAGCACAGATTCTAACTTTTTGGATGATGGGATTTATAAATTACAAAGATTTATAAAGTATAGCAGGGCATACTTGCCTGGCATGACCCTTGGGTTAGAACAAACCACATGAACAGCGTTTTCAGGATGGATGTTTGTTTAATGATTGATACGGTTTGTCCGGCATTGGGAATGGTGGAATTGTGCTGCCTCCACTTTGAGTTGGGAGGTCCTCTCATTCTTCACAGGCAAAAAGGACCCAAGAGACAGAAAGGGTTTGGCAAGGCGGCCTGGGACTTCCAAGGGTTCCTGCAGAAAGTGGTGAGAGAGGCTATCTCCAGCGCCATGGGGACCACCTCCAACTGAGACGAGCCCCCCATATCTCGCCGTATCACTCAGCCTAGGCCCCACGAGATAACAAGGGGGGGGAAGGTGGCTAAAAGGTGGGAGCCATCACTTACTTGTAGGAGCTCAGAAGCTCTTGGTGCCGGGAGATGGGGAGGGAACAGGGGGGGCAGGGGAGATAAGGGGAGATAAGGGATGGGACTTGGATATGTCCAATTGTCAGACACTCGATGGGACTGCCAATATGCCGCCCCAGCCAAACCCCCCCTGGCACCACTCCTATATATGACATACATGGAGTGTTTGGGATTGTCAGCATGTTCATGGTTTGCTCCCCCCAACTTGAACCCCTTGGGATCAGCGCTCTGGCATGGATGGGGCACGGTCCAGGTCTCTCAAAAGCTGAGGACAGCATTCAGCTGGGTGGAAACAATGCGAAGTTCGTGGAGTGGCTGCCACTTGGTTGGCACGCGAGATGTGGTGTTAGGAATCGGAATCGGAATGTATAAAAGGATTTTTCAAATGGATTCATCCTCCATCGATCAGACTAAGGACGGCCAGTGAGTGTAGGAATATTCTGCCGTGGAGAGACCCACACATGCAGGGTCAGGCGAACAATAATCTCCAACTTCTAGCTTCTTGATGCTTCTTGCTGCTATCAGGACCATGCTGTCCATCAGTCTCTACACCATTTGGGGTGGAATGGAAGTGATCTCTGGCGATGTGGAGCTGGGCTTATACGCAGCTCAGCGCAAGACGCGCTTTTCGTCTCGCGCGAGGTTTCGAGCCTGCCCCCTAGCGCGGAAGGACACGAGAGACACGTTGGCGATGTGGGTGCTCGAGGTCGAATGTCACGCGGCACAAGTGACACTTGCTGTCCCCGGTCCTTATTTGTTTTGGGGGAATGAGGGGCTCGGAGAAGAAACCATCATAGTTTTTCATGATTGTGCTTAAGCCATTTGCATTTGGGATTTGCTGACTGCTCTCAATCCATTGGATGCAAGCGTAGGCGTAGTAGCTTGGGTCTATGCCCCAACTCCATGATCGATGGGTGATGGACATGGACGGATATACATATACCCATGGCTGCCAAGACTACAAAAAGCGCGGTGTTTTCGAAGTAATATGTACTCTTGCATGTACTTTGCCAACTATGTCACAGCCTAGGGTGATGATTCTCATCAGCTTGTGTGTGGTTGTGATCCTCACTTGACAAGTTTATGCAGCCCATGCAGGCTAACATAGGGCCACGGCCACAGGGCCTACCAAGCATTTGTGTGTGTTGGATAACATTCTGACGATTCTGACGAACATAAATTGTACGGGAACGTTCTATAAAACATGGTTCCAAAACACGAGGTTCGCAACACCTTGGACACCTACAGGTCCTGTCAACACATGTCAACTCCCCGTCAACACATACACGACACGGTGCGGGGCGAACGGTGCGGGCGAACGGTGCACCTGGTTGAAGGACGGGTCGACCGGTCGACCGTCGCAACGCAGGTCACCAACATTGGCGTGTTCAATGCAGCGGGAGCAGCCGCCACGGAGCGGGGGGGGGAACGGAGGGCGCATGGCGCTTGACGTCGGTGGTGCGGTGAAACAGCAACTACGTCGGTGCCACGGGTGGTGGTGCATTGGTGACATTGGTGGAAGCATGAACTAAGTGGGTTGGAGGATAAAAACCTTGGGTTTTTGCAGTGGTTCCTGAAAAAGACGGTCATGGCTCTATTCCTTTTTTTTCGGGGGGCAGAAAGATCCTGAACACTGGAGTTACTGGAACGAAGAGTTTTTGGTATGTACAATTTCTACATGGAGTCCGTTTGCTATGATGGTGTTTCACCGTGAAACCTTCGATCAACAGATATGTAATGCGCGGTTCTGTTGACACATGGAAATCCTGGGCAATTCCCTCACAATGTGACCCCCACCTAGCTCCAAACCACACAAAATTCAACCAGGAACCGCCATGTCATGTGCAGGCACAGTCAGGTTCATGATCCACACCACTAGTATCGCTTGCTAGGATGCAACTGTAGCAACAGGTGCTCAAATCCATGCGATGGTTTGTTCAGAGGCCTCACTTTGCAGAAGTTCTTGTGTTCTGATGTGGGTAGATGACGAAACTGATGTCAGCAGCAGAATGATGGAAACTCAATAAGTTTAGGAGGAGCTTCATTGATTGATGAATCACACCAGTGTAAGTCAATTTGTTATTGATTGTTTATTGTTGTTTGTCCCGTTTTTCTGATTTGAATCCCTCATGGGCTTTGGGGAAGTGAAGTGAAGGTATCCTGTTGCCATGATGGTATCCGTTCCAGCTTCGGATGTCTTGAAGTGTTGCAGCTCCCAAACTGGGCTGTTGTGGAGTTGCTGGGCCTGCTCCATGTTTTAATGTTCCGCTACTGCCCACAAAAAGAGAAGGTTAGTTTGCCATCACTCGCGGGCGGTGGTTCTGGCAGCATTCGTTTGAGTATACCTGGTGGGGGGGGCCAATCAGCATGGCTATCCTGTTTGGTTAAACCGGTGGGTGTTTGGGTGTCCAAGACGATTCAACATCTCCAGACAGGACACCGGACGCCAAATAGGCATGTTCGATTCTGAAAAGGGGTAGTGACGGTGAGGTGGAGTGTTCGCCACCTGCCTCTTCAGCTCTGATTTCAATGATTTCTGCTAGTCAATGTAGACACTTGATGAGTATAGCTCAACCCCCCATGTGAGAAGGCCTTACAATCCAAAGGGATGGTAAAATTGTTCATTTCAGAGCTCAACAGCCTGTACTCGTCTCCTGGACTCGATCGGACGGCGTCTATGCCAACATCGTCGGTCTGCGGTGAAGCGGTTTGCGATGCTTTTGCCATCAGGACTTTTGCCATGTCCTCTTGGAGATGCAGAAGGTGACACCCTCCTTGGTCCTTGGGATTGGGATATACTGGGATGGGACACGGACATGGAAGGACATAATTTGTCGGTTCCTTTTAGGGAATTGAGGTATTGAATTGGTGGTTGCTCACATCAAAAGAAGGACATGTCCACATGACGGCATCGAACACCTATGTTGGATCACTGCTTGGTCAGCATGGAGGAACCCGTTATTATAATTGAGGACGTGAAGAGGCCGCCTGTCGGATGTTCAATACGGCTGGTCGGTGTGTCCTGTGTAACCAATGCCAGACGCGAACCTTTTGGTCACTGCAGTCCTATGGCCTGACCATCTAGCACCATCGAAAACCACCAGTCATGTAGGCCATAGGACTGCAGAAAACCAGGCAGGTCGCGTTTGGGCCAAGCTCATGTTCCAACCACCAATGCTGAAGAGACTGCCATTTGGTCCATTTAGGAGCATTTGGGGAATACTCTAGTTGGTACTCCAAGGACGTGGGACATGATCCATTCGTCCCACAAAACCGTGCAACAGGGGGCCTCGATGATATTCAGTGTCCAGCTAGATCTTCTAGCAAACTGCCTGGGGCAAATATAAGCAAAATACGTACATGTTGTTTGGTTTCGGATGAGTTCTCTTACGTCAACCCCTTGAAAAGCCAGGAGATGACCCTGAGTGTATCAGGTTCTGCTGACCGGGTGCATTTTTTCATTTTCCCCGAACTGGATGAAGACCCTGGCAGACAGGAAGATACGCGCCAGACCATGTGTCCCGCAAATCATGCCCCAGACCATCCGTGGGACTGGCATATTTACCCATCAGTTGGGGTGGTTGACCTGGGGTTAATGTAGGCATATATGCCAGTCCCACAGAGTGTTTGGGTACTGAGCCTCCATCGGCTCTACATCGATCTTTAAGGAACGCTTGGTGCGGTACATCAACATGGCCACAGATCTACCGAAGCGTCGCTTTTCTTCAGTGAGTCCTGGGGGGCGTGTCGGTGCAGTCGTGCCACAGAGCCTTCGCTGGAGTGAGTGAAAGACGGTGAACACGAGTGGTTACTCACGTGAGCCAGGTGGTTACTCAGAAGGATTTGGCTCCCAGTAGCACCAACATAGTGGGGATATATATAGTATGAAGCCGCTGGACCTAAAGATAATATTTTTTTGGCCGACCGCGGTCAGACTCTCGCGACAGTGAATAAAACGACAATAAAACGTATATGGCGCCATGGTTCCCAATGAAGTGTGTGGTCTTTGGGATTGTAGCAGGGTATGAGCAGAAGGCTCAGAAAAAGTACTCCATGCACTCGAAATTCTCATGTAGGGCCACAGGAGAATCAGCATCCTGCGGCACACCATGTTTCTGACATGTGCGGCTTTGAATCATTCCAGGGGAGTCTCAGTGCCCTATTCCATTGGGAATAGCAATGTGGCTAGGGTGTTTTTGTTCCATTCCCCGACAAGTAGTTTTCTTAATTATATGTGCCATCAATTGCCCAACACGCAGAGCTGGGCTGTGTTGTATTTGTTCAACAGACCTACCCTCGGTTGAACAAACATAGAGGCTTATAGAATGTCCTTGAACGTCCTTTACACGTGCACTACGGCATTTCTCTGTTTTGCAGTCAATACTGTTTTTGCACACAGAAGGACTGGTTGAACCCTTTTTTGAAGCCATGGCATTCTCTTGATAACCAGGTATTAACCCCTTGATGAAATCTGCGTGTTGTGCTCAACAACCATTTAAGGGCACATAGCGTCTGGTGCTGAGCACCCACCCTATGGTGGGCTTGGACCATTCACACCTATGGCGAACTCCCCTGCAATTGGGGGGGTGAATCGAAGTCACTGAGCACCAGCCGCAGTCACTTTGCTTCGGAAGACACCTTCGGTGGACACGCGTTCGGGACACCTTCGCGCCCCGAGGTAAAGACTTAGAACGCCATCGGCGGGTTGCTACCAGTCGACTGGCCAGTGAGACGACACACGAGCGTGGCAAAGGAGAGGTGTTTTTCCGCTCGGTGCGCAGAAGCCGATTGCCAGGCTCAGGGGAACTTGTTGGTTTGGGATACCAACAGCCGTTTTTTTGTGGCCTGAATCCCAGACAACCATTGTTTTTTGCCAATAGGAGTTTAGACTACATCAGCCAGATCAACACTATCAACCATTCTTTCAATTGTCTTTGAAGGCTATAGGGTTCTTGCTTCGGGATTCAAGTCCCTGGCTCCGGTTGGGAGCCCTAGAGGGTTTGTTGCCGGCGACGGTACGGTGTTACGGTAAAATGAGAGACCCCCTTGTTTGTGGTTGGGGATAATAGCTAGCGGTAGTTCGCAGATGTGGTCGAAAGAACGCTTTGATGTGGAATGTTGATGCACGGTCAAAGAAAGGACGGGAGATGTTAAAAGTCACTGAAAGTGAATTTCTAGTGACTCTAGACGAAACCAAGAAGATGAATTCAAGCAAACGACCGGGCTGGACGCGCAAAATCTGTTTGACGCAGGATTTGTGTTGGACAAGCTGCCCATCGCCCCTGGGCGTGACGGTGACGACAGGGTGTTCGCTGGGGATTCGGGGCCCAGTATGGAATTCTGTAATATAGACCTTAGCAGCCGCTCTTCACGTCAGTCATTTGGAATCAGGACCTTCCAATTATCGGAAAGTCTGGAAAAATGGTTTGGGAGATGGTTAGTCCAGGACCTCCAACGATTCTGAGGACACGTTCCACCAGTTGACTGGGTCTTCGATGCCGCATCACTTCAAAAAACGATTCCTTTGTGCCAACGACGGTGCGAACTCCCAGTAGCTCTAACTACGTCCTCAGAAGGTCCTAAGGTAGGGAATCACCATTCAAACCTAGCCCTTAAAGCGTTTAGACCTATAGGCGGTGGCTACAAGACGATCACTATTCTTGGAAGACGGTTCTTTTTTTATTTAGCGGCTGTGTGTGAAAACCGCTTGGATTGTTTCAGGGAGGGTAGAATGGGAGTGCCACACCGATGCTTGGCTGAGATCATCAGCGAGTTGGAGTTCTCCTATCCCAGCAAGCTCCCGCGCTCCTTTGGTGGAAGGCGCGCTTCACACGTGCGCGCGCCGGACACACAGAGGCGTTGCCTGCCGTCCTTTGCGTCACGCGAAGTATATCTCAGTGCTCAGGTCCAGGTGGGCGGAAGGTGCGGAAAACGGTCTTTGTGGCCAGGTCGGCACAATGGAATGATGCTGTATACCAGCACCCTCCAGTCAAGGTGTTTCCTGGTGTTTCTCCAGGTTCAGGTTCAGGTTCCTCTTAGGGTCCCCAAAACAGCCGAACCTTGGAGTCCTGGTATAGATCAGATTGTTTGTTTCAAGCAATTCATGTGAATTGCGATGGCACAAATCCCATGCCAGGTGAGAAAAGGACAGATTCTGCTGCACGACCTGTGCTATTCAATTCGTTCATTTCACGTGCCCTTAAGCTACCAGCTCTACCCCGAATTTAAGAATAACATACTCAACAAGACGGGACTCTGGTGAACATTGACATCGCTGCGGGTTGATGGATGTTCATTTGGCATTATCTGCTGAGTTGTGCACATGTCACCCTCGCCTTCACATGTCCGGCCCATCATGTGCTGGGCGAGTCGGTTGAAGCATGTTGAGTCACTCAAAGTCTACAAACTTTGTGACTTAAGAAGCACTTTATATCACTTTATACTGTAATCTTTATAGCACTTGGCACGTTAAAAAGTCTGTGAGATGTGCTGTCTCTCTCTCTCTCTCGTTCACACATGTGTTTTTCTCCATTCTTGAAACACCAACGCCGAGCTAACACCTTCCGCCCAGCATCGCCAGCTGAAAAACTCGATCGCTCTCGCCACTGTGGCGCTCGCCCCGGCGACACGACCGCGGTCGTCGGTGGTTCGACAGGATGGAATTGCCACAAGGGAAAGTGCTGGCCATTGCAGGCCGCTGTGGCCATGGCAAGTCTACTCTTCTCAGGTGTGGCGCGCGCCAGCTGTGCTTGGGCTAAGGAGAAGTATATAGCATTCCTCGTGATTTAAACATGAGGAGAATGTCAGTTTGGTAGTAGATGTAGGATGAGGGGTTCAGTGGGAAGTTTTTGTAATAAGTCCGATGATTTATTCTAGCAAGACACTATTAATTACTACAAACATTTATTGATACTACCCATGAGCTCATGACGAAGATTTTGTGTCACAGTATTGGCCGAATCCACGAATTCATTTGAGCATGGTTGTGGCCGACAACGAACGTCCCAGCACTTTTTGAGGAGGTCTGGCGAAGAGCTCACTAGTTCACAGGCGCAACTTCACGAGAGAGGCCTTCCCATTCCAACGAAGAGCTCTTAGACAAGGTTTATGTCATCACTTAAGTGGGACGCCCACAACAGCCCACGCGCGCGGTCTGGATGGTCCAGGCATATCATTCCCTATGGATCCACATACCTTCTCGGAAGGTAATTGGACCCTCCAAGCCCACATAAATAATCTCCAATCACCTTCTCAGAAGGGATGTGGATCCATAGGGATTGTTTGTTCATGTTTAGGGATTCAATATTTTGAGGCTAAGTCGCATGTCACGTCCTGTCCGGTGCGAAAGAAGCCATCCCAGTCCACCAAACCAGTTTCGGGTTTCCCTTGCCGCCCAACAGAAGATCAAAGAACCCACCAAGTCCACTCCACCTTCCCACGGTGTGATTCACCCCACCAGTGTGCCCGAGGGAGACAACTGTCTCAGTGCTACGGTGCCAGGATCATCGCAGGACGCAACTTGCCTCGACTTTGCAGCGAACAGTCTTTGTTCTTCATCCCCTCGCACATTCAGGTGGGCTTACCTCGACCAGCTGAGAGAAAACCACAACACAAACCCACCAGCTAAATGCCAGAGGATACATGTGGTCGTGGTGTTTCACTCTTTGCGCAGCATTTCTTCCTCCAAGCGTGGTGACCAAGGACACCGCCGTTTCTTTCAGAGCGATGGCCTCCAACCTACTAGCGATGACCTCCAACCTAATAGCGTCCTTGGTAATAATGTTTTGTTGTTTTATTGTTTTTTTTGATGTATTGGAGTTCACCTCATTTCTGACCTGCACGGCTTAGCTGCGGCTTCTTCTCCGCGCTTGCGGCTGCTCATCCTCCACGGTCCGGAGACGGTCACCTCCGCTGCAGGTGCTTTACGTCCCTCACACGCCCATCTTCATCCATGGCACACTCTACGAGAACTTGGTCTACGGTGTTCGGCGACTTCGCCGCAGAACTTCGGCGACTCCGGCAGCGGATTGGAAGGGAGTTGGGGTATATGGACGAACATGTCCCACACCCTGGAAGTCATATGCACACGTGAGGTCAAGGCACGAGGGATCAACAATCAATTGGTCCATATATTCTACAAGGTCCTTTGGATTCATCTTGGTCCTTGTTCGGCTGGGGTGAGTTTGGACAATAGTCCGCAATGGCAATGGATCATCAAATCTATCCTGGAAAAATGCGCAAGTGGTGGCAATTTACGGCACTTGCAAGAACAGGAGCTCTCTCACCCCCTCAAGCTCGCAGGCAAGATCGCAATGACGACAGCATGGACCGCGTGCTGAACATTTGCGAACGCCTGCAGCTGCCACCCGTGGTGCTGGCGGGGCTGCGATCGAAGGGGTTGTGGGGATCGCAGGTGGTGTAGGTTCAGAGGAGTTCAACAACAGATCAGTCCGGTCACCGCCGGTCACCTACACTCCATGAACATATATGAACTGAAGTGACAGGCCACTTGTTTTTGGTATTTGGAAGCTGGTCGTCTAAGGGACCTTGCGCCATCCGCTTTCATGTTGGATTGAGGTGGCTGCAGACCTGAAAGATGAAATAGTAGCAGCAGCAGAGTGGTGCACACGGTCCCACGGCAGTATTTAAACACGTTCATGCCCACAGCTATCCTAAAGATCCTAAAGTAGTATAGAAAATGATAGACAAATACATAAGAAGTTCCTGAATTCGAAGTATCCTGATGTTATTTTTGTGAAGCGCAGCAATAGCTGTCTCGAATGACCAGAACTACATTTCAACCACTCGATCCACTTCCTGTGCGTCGCTCGGCTTTCAAAGTGATTGGCATGTTGGTGCTTTCTTGACGCACCGCTTCCTTCGCGCAGAACGAGATCATGGGGAAAAAGACCCTCGAACGCGACTGGTCCCACAAGCTCTCCTCTACACAGCAGCTTGGCTGGTTAGGGGATGGATTCTTGAGTTCTGATGTTTCGTTTCAAAAAAAAGGTGGTGCTCCGCCAGAGCCCAGACAATGCCAAGTTTGAGGACATCACTGTTACAGAGCCCCTGCAGGTTTACAGCTATTGCCGTTGGTTTTATCCTCCTTCAGTAGGGCATTTCCTACCTGAGCTGACTTGGCTGCCATGCTTTTCCATAATGAAGCGTGCAGCATGGTGATTTGGATGGTGTGGGGTCCAGTTTATGTGTGTTTGAACTTCTGACCGCAGAAGGTGGCAGAGAAATACATTCATGCAGAACTCCAAGTAGTTAGAATCTCTAAATACTTATCTTTAATGTAGATCAGGGGACAATTGCTAGAAATCTGGTGTTTTAGTCTTAATTTCTTAATTAGCCGGTGTTTTATGGTAATTCTTTAAGACGAGCCCCATGTCTGCTTCTGATTCGCTTCTGATCCACTTCTCGCGGCCGAGGTGCCAAGCTTTGCTCCTCGCGCGCGCCTTTATCGCCAATCCAGCCCCTTGGACCAAAGCCATCCGGGGCTTCGAGCGTGCATCGTCCCAGTCGGTCAGACGTTGAGTTAGCTCAGAGACACCGTATTTCCGAGAGAGCTCATTCGTCTGAAATCAACGATTGCTACGAATCAGTTGGGGTGCCGGAAAGGGTTGGGAAAAGGATGGAAAAGGGAAAGCACCGTTGGCAACTCTTCCTGTCTTATGGT